AAGAGAAAAAGGAGGAAGTTCTCTACAAAAGTAGTGATGGAAGTGAAAATGAAGAAGGCATGACAAATCTTGGAGATGAAGATGATGATAATTATTAAAATATTTGTATTTGAATTGAACACTTAGTATTTTTAAACATCTAAGCATTAGAGACTTAAATTTAGTTAGTTAAATTTATTTAGTTCTTATATTTTTTTGTTACTTGTTATTGACATTTGACATGTGTTATGTTCTTAAACTTTTACTTTTAATCATTAATATTGTATATATTTTTAAGTTGGGTCTTAAATTTATATATTTCAGCATATATATGTGTGTAATTTAATTTATATGAGTATATTTATAATTGAAGAATCAAAATAGAGAAGGAAAAAAATTAAAGAAAAAAATAGGAAAAAATAATTGTTTAGTTACCAGAAAGTTCGCCGAAAAGTTTCCCAGAGTTAGAGAAGATGACCGAAAAGTATTTGAGTGATGTCGAAAGTTGTGCTGACCTTGAATAAGATGACAAAAGATGAATAAAATGACTCCAAATAATTTGGGTCACCTTAGAGGCTTTGGCAGAGACAAAGAAGATGACCGAAAAATGTCTCTTCTTTGGTAGAAGCCTCACAAGAGATGAAAGCTACACTCCAAATGTGGAAAAACAGAGAACAAAGGAGAGTTGAGTGGAGAGCTGCAGAAAGGGTTGAGAGGTGACTTGAGGGGGGCTAGGGTTTTGCGTAAGGAAGAAGAAGATTTAGAAATAAAAGGAAGGCAAAATTTCAAGATTGCCCCCTCTTAAAAGGACCCATCAGTAACGAACAAAGGGAAGAATTAGAAATTTTAGAGGATGATATAGCGGCCGCTCCAGTCGCTATTTTTGCAATTTTTTACCATAATTCACTGTTGATAGCGGCCGATATAGGCGTTATTGACTACTATGATATTAGTATGATGACAATGTTATTAATAGTAGCAATGTCTTTAGGATTTGTAAATGTATTATAACAAAATTAAAAATGAAAGCGGCAAGGAGATTCCATTGAGTTTTAAAGAATATAGTATGAAAACCATCAGGGACAGAAGATTTAAAATTTCCTATGTCAAAAAGGGCAACTTTAACTTCCTCTATAGTCAAAACAAAATTAAGTGTAATATGGTCAAAATTCCTAAGAGTAGGGAATCTAGTCCTAGTGAGCAGGGGACTCATATTAGGGCAAGGATTATAATAAATAATTTTAAAATAGTTAACAACTAGATTTTTAAAGTTTAGAGGGTTATATTCTCATTTATCCTTCTCATTTCTAAGAGCATCAATTAGGTTTTTCTATTTGCAGATGATAGCAACTTTGTGGAAAAAAAAAAGTATTATTTCTATCACCTAATTTAATCCAATTAGAATTGTAATGGTGAAATCAATAGATTTCTTCAGAATCTAAATTTTTTTGATAATCAATCCATAGAGATTTCATAAGTTTGCTGAGATAAGGATTATCTTTTTTGGCTAACTGATTTGAAATGCCCTTGATCCTATTTAACATGCGCTTTTTTTTTTTTTTGAAAATATTACCAAAGACATTAAGGTTCTAAGCATAAGTATTATTTGTAAAGTGTGTAACATTTTCAGTCCAGGATCTAGAAACAACCAAGGAATTTTTTAACTTGGTTGGGAAAGTCTTCATGAGACAGCCAAGGAGCTAAAAACTTAAAAGGCCTATGACATCTCTTAGTATAGTCTTGATCTCTAATTTTTAACCATAAAGCAGCATAATCAGATTTTAAAATAGGGATATGAATAAGAGAGCTATTTTGGAAGAACATTTTCCAAGAGTCATTTACAACAACTCTATCAATCCTTTCTTTAATATTTCCTCTATGCCAAGTAAAATGGTTCCCTTTGAACCATAAATCCTAAAGGCCACAATTATTGAGGCAAGCAGCAAACTAATTTATGAGGGATAAGTTTGCAGGTTTGCCTCCAAACTTCTCTTTTTCAAAAAGAACAGAGTTGAAGTCTCCAACAACACACTAGGGACCATTTATAGAAGAGCTAGAGCTATTTAGAAATTGCCAACACTCAGTTGGCCTCCCTTCGTGAAGGCTGGCATACATAGAAGAGAGTACCCAGCCCTTTTGACCATTATTGATTTTTAGGTGGATAAAATAATTATTTTTCTCTAAGATAGTAACTTTAATTTTGCTAGTGTTTCAGCAGCACCAAATGCCTCCTGAGAACCCTATAGCCTCAACTCTAGCACAACTATCTAAGTTAATTCTATTAATAACTATGTTAGCCTTACTTAAGTTGATCCTTGGTTCAAATAGTCCAATAAAGTCTAACTTGTAAACTTTAATAAGGTCATTTATAAGCCTAGGAAAGGTTTTACCCCAGCACACCTGCAGTTCCAAAAAAGACAATTCATAGTGTTTAGGCTAAAGACTCAGCACCAATATGATGCTTAGGAAGACTTATTCTAGTAGGATTAAGCTTAGGACTTGTTAGGGCTTGTGAAACTATTTTATCTATCTCCATTAATAGGGATGGATAAGGTCAAGGATGTTATGACTCCCCTTACATTTTTCTTGGATACTTCTCTAGAAATATGACAAGTCTTAGAGTGTCCATGCTATCTTGACTTAGCTTGTTTTCATCTTGGTCCTGTTTATTATTAACATTGCTAAGGTTATCTATCTGTGTATGATTACTTTCCTCTTTTCTTGATTTGATAATTTTGGGAACAATCTTAGGCTTGGTCATTTTCTTACCAGTTTCACCTAATTTATTATTACTATAATTTTTTCTATATGGGTTAATAGCACCATGTTCTTTATGAGGAACCTTACTGTCCCTACTAGGTTCTAGATTTTCCTGGGCTGTAAGTTCTAATTCTTGAACAGCTAGGATATCAAACCAAGATCCAATAAGATGATCTTTTGATTTTCTAGGATTTCGAAGGGGTCTAGAGATATTAGAAGAAGAAGGTTTTTTCCTTAATTTGTTTCTTTGCTAACATCTAGGTCCAAAAAGGTCATCCTTAGCCCTAATCTCATGTCCTTGATCAACCCCATTATTGTCTTTAACTACACTTGTACTATCTATTGTACCTTCTTTGTTATCCTCTGATTTGTAGAGAAGGGTCTCTCCATCTCCATATCTATTTGGCTATTTCTCTGGTGGGCCTCACATAGCTCTGTCTATGACCATACTTCACACACTGAAAACAAATGAGATGTAATCTCTTATATTCTACTTTGAATTCTTGTCCTAAGACTTTGAAAGCTGAGACTAGTTCCTTTCTAAGGTTTATTTCGATACATATCTTAGCAAATTTTTCTCTAGACTGAAGGGAAGTATAGGGGTCAACTTTCAATATTGATCCCATGCAGGCTCCTACTTGCCAAAGAAACTTATTATTATATAACTCTAGGGGTAGATCAGGTATCTGAACTCCAACTGCTATTTTTTTCAGGTGATAATCCTTACTTCTAAATAAAGGTCTTCACTTTTGTACAAGCAGGTAGTGGTGTAATGGTCTAGAATCAACTGGGGCCTTCAAACAAAGCTAATTTATAATTCTATTTTTGAAATTTTACTAGAAAAAAGTTATTCTTCAAATCAAGTATTTGTAAAAAGTCATTTCTCCCCAAATATTATTCAATCTTTGGCTTAGATAGTTAGAACTTACTGACGTACCTAACAACTTGACAATAAGGGTGAACTTCCAAGGCAAGCACCAAACTTCATAGTCTTCAAGAGGTATTTTCAGTTCTGGGAAAATATTATGGTTAATTGATTTTATTTCTTTATAATCTTGGAGAAAGTTAAAATCTTCAAGCAATTTTATTATTTTTGGGTCAATTTAACCTTAACACCTTATCTTTAAAGGAAACAGGTTCAGAAAGAACAGGATTCGAATACACTTGATATGACATTTGATCTGCAGTAAGTTGGTCTTCTTGCATATCCTCCTTTGGCTCCATCTTAGACTCCTTTGAGTTCATTTTCACCTTTTTTATGGACCGCTCTACCAAATCTGATTCGTATTTGGACCTCTTTTCTCTTTCAAGTCTCTCCATCCCACCTTTCTTCCTTTGGATCAGATCAACAGAGAGTCCTTCTTGCATGTCCTCAGTTAGTACTTCCATGCCACTCCTTGGACCCATCTTCACTTTCTTTGTACTCCGATCCATTTAGTCAAGCTCCTCTGTTGAGCGTTTCTCCCCTTTATGTCATTCCATACCTTGAAACCGAACTGAGAGTAAAGAACTCTCAATCGTGGAAAGTTTTAGCTTGTCGCCGAAACAAAAACACCCTTCGAGATCTCTCAAGCGACGGGTTAAAAAACCCTTTTAGCACCACTGTCCCCCCTTTCTTGAAAAGTAAAGAAAGTAATTGGTGGAAACCCTATCAACACTGCAAGTTTAATGTTTTTGATAATTATTTTTTAAATTTAAGTCTATTTTTTCCCCCTATTTTAATTGTTCACTTGCAAGAGTTTCTCTCCAGTTTTTAGATTGGTATAATAAGAAAGAGAACTACAAAATGCATGTCCTTCTCTATTTATTACACCTATCAAGTACTTGAGAAGAGTTTTTTTTTTTTTCTTAATTACATCTTTCTCGGCCTAATTTCTTTGTTGAATATTATAATTACGCATCACATACACATACTGACATTTGTTGTTTTGGCTCCATATTTTTTCCAATTATACAACACTTGTCTGCCAATTCACCCTATCTTGGTTAATTATTTTGTATGGGTATTATTTTGGTAAATTACATTAATTTTCTAATATTTTAGTAAAAGACACTAATTTCTATGTAGTCCTTTGATTATCTTATTATGTGGTTTGATCAAATTAAAGTTGGAGAAAAGTCTAAATGCATTTTCTTTCTTTATTTTCTACTTTAGCTTTCCACCTCGAATCTTAGCTGATTTATTCCAGGGCAGAGGTACACCGCAAGCAGTAAAATTGACAAGCTATTGTGAAAGTTTTTTTTTTTTTTTTTGAGACCGAAGAAAATGAAATAGAATGTCAAAGTTGAATTTGTTGATGGATATCTTAATAAGCTGTAAATTTTCAAATGAAATAATTTTCCAATTATAATAAAACTTTGGAATTGGAGTATGTGCTTGATTGATTTTCATTGTGAAAATCAATGGTGTGGAAGTGTCCAAATTACTTTGGTGCAAGTTGTTAAGAAAAAATGCAATCTAAAAGGTTCTTTTTAAAAATGACACAAGTTTCAATTAGTAAGATGATCTTACGAAATAGAATTTTATCATCTTCAATCATTAAAACTGAATTTAAATATCTACAAATAAAAAAAATTATAAAAATATAATAAATATTTTTTTAATAAAATTTTATTATTATTAACTGTTTATTCTCAGCTTCAATTCTCAACTCTTGGAGCTAAGATTAACAAAACCCTAAATAGTATCCATCCAACGAGAAATTAGTAGAAAATTTTGCAAGTTATGGCAAAATTTTAATATTTATTCTTGTTAATTAAAAAACCTGGTCACGTGTGCATGATGATCGAGACCATCAAAACATGGTGGTCTTCAACCACTCAATAATTTCTCCCATCGAACATGCTGCACGGAAACAAGTAAATATTTACATGGCCTTTCAATCTTTATGCTGCTCAATCATTAACCAAAATGAGCATTTTAGTAGACGAGTGAAAAAGTTAATTCAGCAAAATAAGTCAAACAGTGCGAAGAAACCCCAGTTAGGAGGCAGAAGCAGGAGAAACAAAAGAGAAAAACATAAATAAAGGGATAAAAAAAAAATACATAGCTACAAAATAAATACCAATGAAAATCAAAACTCGGACCCAAAACAGTTGACCATCACTTTCTTTCGTTATCATCACATCACAGAAAAAAAATAAAAATCTGCAGATACTTCTTCAACCGATTAATACACTATAAAAGACAGACGTCTATCATACTATGGATTAATCACTGTCCATTACAAACCTGAAGAAAGAGGCACAACAAATTTCTGCGGTCAGAATTCCTATATTGTTGTTACTTTTAGAGCCCTATCATGTATCACCTCGAAATATTATTCTTCCAGCTCAATGAAATTTTGCATATTTGACTCCCTCATTTTCCCTTGGAGTTGAGAATCATGCTATGCTCTGATATCTGCAATAAGTGAAGATACAGAACAACTGCTGAGGAGCTATATGTCAGCAGCCCCCAAAAAGTAACTTCATCCCAGTTCCAATTTCGAAGACAGTGGGGCATTATCAGATAATAACAATAGGCATCAAAGACACTGTTTACACCTCAGAATTTAAGGAATGTTTGACACAGACTAGATCATCCAACTTATTGCCATCCATTTTATACAGAGAGACCCCTTGCATCTGGTTATAATAATCCTTTGCTTCTTTCCTTAAACTCTCAAAAGGCATGACTTCCCATTTACTGTAATTTGAATATTTCCTGACATCACTCATGTCTGGTGATCCTGAGATAGGCCCACTTTTGTCTGGATCCACATTGCCCCACACCTTACAACTGCCAAAAGGACCTAAATCACTGTCCTGACCAGCTTGACCCCTTCTCAAGCGCAAAGTTGCAGCATGTGCTTGGCTTATCATTTCTCTACTTGGTATATCCGACCAGTCTTGCCTCCTCTTAGATCTCATGGGGGAGTGAATCCTGAGTACCTGAATAAAACCCAAAGCCAAAAACATTATAAGAAATACCCAAAGTACATTTTATGTGGATATTTTTGGTACATTTTATGTGGAAATTTATACTAATATTAATACCCCAAGACATTCTAGAAGTTGGTAGTATGCTCTTCCTTGAAGTGGATTGTGTCCCTTCCTTGGAGCAGAGAAGTATCTTGTCCTTTAAGAAGAAGAAAAAAACATGGTACAAAGGACAAAAAATTTTTTAAAGGCATCATCAGTATCACTACCTTACATGTACAAAAATATAAATAAATTAAAAACAAAGGTTTGAGTATCATTGTGGGAATTTATCAAGGGAACAAGCACCAAGACTATAATAAACGATCAGAATTAAAATAGATAAACCCACCATTCAGTGTATCCTGGATCAACAGTGAAACCATATATATCAATAATATCACACATGGAGAGCGCCAACTCAATAGATTTCATTCCAGTTCCTTTGGCACCTCGACGTAGTACAATTCCTTGGAAGAGATAGACTGGATTGGGTATAGTCTGCCATACAAGTTAGTTCAAAAGAATGTGGATAAACTTATTCTATAAAGTATCCAGTTGCTCTAATCTCTATTGAGCTCATATAACAAAACGCATCATATAAAATAGTTATCAAATAATAGATTCTCACTTTTATCATTGCATTGATATCTCTGTGCGTCAGACTTTTGATAATTAGAACCTCATCATCTGCAAAAGAATAAAAATTTAATCCTCTCATTATATACATGTCATGAACTAACTGATACAAGGAAAATAAAATAGGATTAAGATCACAGTATCACACAATACCTAGTGAACATCTAGATTTTTAGTCCTAGCTCCTAGGTCTAGAGAAACTATCTACCAATTGATCCCCACAAATCAGAGCTGGATAGTAAGACGCCAGCTACCTAGATAATATAATAATATATTCATCTTCTTAGTTAAAAGAATATTATGTATATCAGATTTATCACAATAACTATTTTTGTAATTATTTTATTTTATTTACTAATTACCAGTAAATGGATTAATTTTAAATTTTGTATCCATTTGGGTTAATGGGTAAGTCTTCTAAATCCAATTTGGCCAGCCATGGAAAGCAAGAAATAGTATCCACATCTGAAAAATCTAAATTTTGAAATATGAATGTAAGAAGAAAGAGTTGATTGCATTCTGCTAAACTGATATATTGGTTAAAACTAAATTGCATCCTCCACCATCCAATTTTCAAAATGAAGTATTTTTCGCTAAGAGGAGCAAGTCTTGGTGCAACTGTCAAGTTGCTGCCTTGCAACTCAGGTCACAGATTTAAATCCTGGAAACAACCTCCCTGTTTATGGGGATATGCTGCATAAATTTACCTCTCCAAACCCTTCTAGGTGGGAGGCCTTGTGCAATGGGTTGCCCTTTTTAAATTTTTTTGTTTTTTTTTTTTTTTTGCAATTCATATAAAACAATCATTTGTAAAGTGCCACCTCCTATCCTAATCAAGTGTTAGCATCAACTTTTGGACTCTGAGAACTATGTCCAGAACAGTCACATCGTTTTTACTTTGGTAGGGAAATACTCGAGTCAAGACACACAAAAATACTGTGATACGCATGGATTGTTCAAAATTAGGCAAGGCTGATTAGTTTGGTTCCAAATTTGAATCCCATAACTGTGATCAATGAAATCATCCTTATGAACTTGTTAAGTAAATTTTTTTATCTCTCTCCTTTTCATAAATATTTATGACTTTTAATTAGGTCCCACCTGCATAATGTTTATGAGGAGAGACAGAAAAATTTTTCACGCAACAAGGTCACTTGAAAATTCAACGAGAAGATCCATTCCCAGCTTATGAAACATAATGAAAATCCACAACACAAATAAATTTCAACCTAGCACCCGGCTGTCAAGAATCCAGCTTCAACCCAACATCCAACTGTCATGAATCCAGCTTCAGCAAATCAATCAACAATGTTCTAATTTCTCAACCCAGTGTGACCTCCAAGTCTACATTTCAAACTAGATTTATGTTTGTATTTTGTTTCAAAATTTTCAATTTCAAACCCATTTTCTTCAAACTGGCAACTGTTGTGCTCTGTTTTTCAAATTTGAAGTTGTCGGGTCCAGTTCATGATTTGTGATTTTTTGACTTGTTAATTATCACCGAGTAACACGTGATATAAAATTATGTTTGGACACAATGAATCTAAGATAGCTTTTATTAATATTGTTTTTGTATCATTAAACTCTTACCAGTTTATAAGTTCAGCTTATGGCACTCAACTTGTTTACAAAGACTCTCAAGTTTGACAACCTTATTAATCACTTAATAGTAGTGAGTTTAAAACTTATGATAATAAGAAAGCATTCACAAAAAATATTAGGATATAAAATAACATCAAGGTTGAATATAGTTTGAAAAAACTATAAATAGAGATAGTCTGATGATGCAGATTTAACTAAAAGAATAATATTTTACAACACTACTGTAAGACATGAAAACCAGGCATGCAAAAGCACAATTCACATAGGATAAGAGAATTAGAAACTAAAAATAAAAAAGAATTCAAGGACATTACAAGAGAAGTGCTGAAGGTATAATTATCAATAAATCCAAAGGTAACAAAAGATGGCTATAACCTATTCAGAGCATACAGAAAATTATTAAGAGCTAGTGTGAATAGATTCTCAAAATAACTAATGTGACCCAAAATTTCAAGAGCTAGTTTTCAATAAAAGTTTGATATTTTGCTTAAATACTTTCATTTTCATATATAATAACTTACCAGACCCATTTAGAATAGGGACCATGTTACGAGCAGCACCTCTTACAACTAGACGGAAATCCCTCTTAAGACCAACGTACTTGGCATATTTCTACACAATTCATAAAGAAACAAAATAAGTATCCTGCAATTTTTTTTAATAGTATATCAGATTATGCTCTACATAGTGTCTCTATAGCATCTTCTTGTTCAGAAGGACAAAAATAGTGGGTGGTCAGTTTCTTCTATCCTTTGATAAAAACTGGATATCAAGTTCAAGACAACAGATAAAAAATGAGAAATTTTACCCCCCATTCTGCACTATTTACCTGATTAACAGGGGCCTCATTGTCTCGAAAAACAGCATCATGACTATCAATTTCTTTCCCAAATTCTGTCTTCAGAAGATCTCCTGAGTTTCCAACAACAGCACAAGTACGAAACTGCCGTGGATGAAAGGGGGGCTTTGCAGGTAATAATATATTGAGGTTCTCTTCACAAAGAGTCTTATTATAGCACTTCTTTGTCCCCCTACAAGAAGAAAAGGTATCAATTCACTTGCTACGTGATAAAACATACAATAAAACTACATCAGTATTAACACAAACAAACATGAAAAGTAAGGTTGGAGATCCATACAATTGCGCTATCCTTTGTGGAGCATAATCTTCCCAACCACCAGGGCGAGCATCAAGATACTCTCTGGTCAACACCGTAGTCATGTTACGATACTGCAAACATCACAAAATATCAGAACTTATACACATTCATCCCAAAAATACAAAATAAGCAGAGGCAAAAGGGATGACAATCCACCTGTTCCCACAATAGAATTGCCTCACAGACGTCATAGTTGTACTCCAAAGGCTCAAATTGTTTAAATTGCGCATTGTACTGCAATCATTGACACATTAAAAAGAATCAGTATTTGGCTAATAATGGAAATTGAATCAAATAAGAGGGGTTAGGAGACAGTGACACATACCCAAGTGCTGTTGGTACCTTCGGGGTATTTCAGGACCAATTTGCAGTGGTCAATTATATGTGCAGTGAGTCCAAGCCCCCTGTGATCCTGTTTCAAATCCCACGATAATCACACATCTTCATAAAACTAAATAACTCATTTTTCTTTTTTAAATTACACAATGCATGATAATTAAAAATATACATATTAGAAATTCAGAATGGAAAATGGAAGGGCAGAGTGCATTTCGGATCCAATAGTTACCACGCATTGCTTAACACTGGACTGAAAGTTAGACAAAGCACGAATTGTTTCGGAGTCTCGATCTGAATTGAAGGAGCCTGAAAATGCGAATTCGAAGAGAATTAAGGGAACGCGAAACGGAATTTGAATGATTAGGGGAATTGTTGGTTACCTGCGAAGAAAGAGGATTGGATGGAAAAGAGGAGGAGGGAAAATAATGCAGCGGCACACACCAGATAAAGAATCGTGGGTCGCCGGAAACTATTGTTCACGGAGGATACCTGCTTGTGCGGCCTCATTGGCGTTTTGCTCATAGAGAGAGAGAAATCTAATGTAGAAAGAGAAGCATGAAATGGAACACTTTAGTTGTCGGAAACGACAACTTTGGCTCTGATGAGCCCCGCCGACATTCCTTGCTTGAGAATTCAGATGGAAGGGAAACGCAGCGTATTAACAGTAAGCTTGGATACGAATTCTGGACGCGGATAATCGGGTTTACCCCCCTTGCTTGTTTCCAAAATTTATTTGGATAAGATAAAATCAATCTTAATCCTCAATCACGATTAAGATATGTAGTGAAATTTATTTATTATTTTCTTATCGTATTTATTGTTTTATTAATACGGTAAAATCATTGGTTAAAACTAAAGACTTTTATTATAACAGAGATTATAATAATGAGAAAAGTTTTTATATTTTTAATTTAAATTGTTTTTACTCATATCATTATTGAAGATAAGATATCATTAATTTAAATAAGTTAATATATATGTGATAATTTTTATTAAATAAATATTAATATGTCTTATTTATTAAATTAATATATATTATAAAAATTTAATTATATATTCTATCTCTATAAAAATGGTTTTTTTAAAATAAATTTTTATAAAAAATTATTAAAATCTAGTTCTAACTTATTTAAAATATCAAAGTTTAATTTTTATTGAAACTTTTTTTATTAAATATTAAATTTATTACTATCATGTTATTATATTATTATTTCTTTAAAAAAATTATTATTTAAAAATTCTTATTTGTAAAAAAAAAGTCTTTTTTAACCTTTTTTCCTAAGCACTCTTTTAATCCCTATTTCTCCCTAATAAAAAAAAAAGTCTTCTTTAACCCTTTTTTTCTAAGCACTCTTCTAATTTCTATTTCTTCCCAAAAAAAAAAAAAGTTCAACCTTGCTTAAAAATTCTTGGAACCAAAATTCATTGGATCTCTTGCATTTTCATTGTAAATTCAGTAATACATGAAAATAGACTTACTTTTAAAAATTCTAAAGTTTTATTTGAAAGTTTAAAGAGAGATAAGGAAAAGGTTTAAAAAGTTAAACAACTTAAGAAGAAAGAAGATTAAATTTCTCCGTTATTTTGATGTTTAATTTCAAAGGAGAATAGTAATAAATGGTTTAACTTATAAATGACATCATTACATTTTTATATTTTTTATTCATATGCTTTTTTGTATGTTTTATTTTTTAAAAAAATTAAATAATTTTCTCTCTTTAACAATTAATATTTTTAAATTTTTTATTTTTATAATTTTTTTAAAATTCTTATTTCAAAAGCTAACATTGTTGAAAGAATTTAATATGTCACTATTAACTTCAGAACAAGTTGATAACAAATAATGACACTAATTTGAATAATAAAATTATGAAAGAAATGTATGATAACTTCAAAATTCAACATCATAACTCCTTCCTTTATCACCTAAAAATGAATAAAGGAGTTGAAGCTGCCACTAAAATATTAAGATCATTCAAAAAGATGACGATGACGTATATGGATTGACATGAAATTCTATCGCTTGTCTTACACAAATATTGAACTTTCATTTAAACTTGAACTAGGGTAATTTCATTCTCTTTGGTATAGAGAATGGAAGCAGTACTTCCTATCGAGGTTGAAATTCTTTCATTTAGAGTGTGAATAAAGACTAAATTGCAAGAGGTAGAGTGAATTTAGTCTCTTTTTTATAAGTTGAATCTCATTGAAGAAAAATGATTGAATGCATTATGTTATGATCAACTTTACCAAAGAAAGATGAATAATATTTCTGACAAAAATATTCGTCTGTGAGAATTTAACGAGAAAACCATAGTACTCAAAAAGATCTTACTAAATAAATTCTTAAGAGGAGCTTTGCTCCTCACAAACATGGATAAGAAAGAGCTTTCAAACTCTGTAGATTATGATTTTGTCAAAAAATACCATGCTTGAAAGTGTTTGTCAAAAAATAAAGTAAACAAAAAAAAAGAGCTCTCTGGATTAAAAACCAAAAAGAACAATCTAGATAAAAGTTAGAGCAACCTGATGACTTGAAAACTTGAAAGAGAAGTTTAGACAAAAACTAGAGTAAAAAAAAATTCTCCACTAGACTAAACATATAAAGGTGATCTAGAAGAAGTTTGGGTAGTTAATTTTAAACTAGCAATATAATGTTACTAGCATTTCAAACGGGTCAACGTGATGCAATGATACTAAAATAAGGCAAAGTGATATGGTAAAACCAAAAAACTAGGGCAATTTTGAGATGTTAAATTAAACTGGCCAATTGACAAGTCTAAAATCTTAAATTGGGACAAATTTATTCAATTGGAAGTTTTATTAATAGGCAATCAATTTGCTAACACGAGGAACTAGCACTATTCATTCGAAGGTCACTTAAGCGGTATGATACCTCAATGTTTTACAGGAATTTATGTGAACCCTTAATATTTGTTATCCTTTGTTTGATGTATTTGTATTTTCATTACTCATATTGTAAATTTTCTTGTAAATTAATATTACTTTATTTGTTATATCTTTCTTATTTTTCAATATCAATATTTTGACTCTTTACATCTTTCATTCAATGTGTACACCATCCTAATAATTAGTTTAATTTAACTCTTCAACATCTTAACTAATAATCCCTTTGTCATTTGGTGATTATATATTAACTTTTGGGAAAAATAAAAAAAAATTAATGACAATAATGAGTTTTAATGGTAAGTCTTTTGAGTTTCTTGATAAATTTAGCATGACAAAAGTTGACTCACACAACAACTTAGAAATAACTAATAATCTAATTTGATTGATATATTACCTCAATACAACCTAAATAAAGGAATTATTCTAGACAAATCTTATTCATTCAAACTTTGAGGCGTTTGTTCCAATAAGGTTCAAGAACTTTGAATCACAGAAGAAATAAAAAACTAGAAAACATTTTTTTATGATTTAATAAGTCCCATCATAGTATTTGACATCATTAATGTCATCATACAATGATTTCATTTCAAATGTTCACATTCATTTAGTTTTCACAATCACATTAGCATGCATTTATTTTTGTTTTGTTATTGTCAAAGGCTAGTTCAAGCATATCTACCTTGCAACTTTTATTTTCAATCAAAGTCAAGAATCTAACTTACACCTTTTTACTTTTCTTGTTAAAGTTTAGAAGTTGACCAATCTTTTTACTTTTTCTGTCAAAGCCCAGAAGTTGATTGTACTCATTCACATTTATGTTAAAGTTTAGAACATGATAAACACTTTTAATTTTCTATCAAAGTCCAAAATTTAATTAACATATTTTTTTTTTGTCAAAGTCTAAAAGCTAAGAGACTCATTTACTTTTCTTGTCAAAGTTCAGAAGCTAATTGACTTCTTTACTTTTCTATTTAAGTCTAAATCTTGACTAACTCCTTTACTTTTTATGTGAAAGCCTAGAGTCTAAGTGGCACCTTTTTATTTGTCTTGTTAGAATCATAAAGTTGACTTGTCTATTTACTTTTCTTGTCAAAGTCCAAAAGCTAATAGACACCTTTATATTTTTGTTAAAGTCCAAAGTCTAATCAACTTCTTTACTTTTTTTTATCAAAGTCTAAAAAATATTGGTTTTTTTATTTTTTTTATTTTGTTAAAGTACAAAACTTAATTAACCCTTTTTACTTTTCTATCAAAGTTGAGAACTTGACTACCATCTTTACTCTTTATTTTTTTTCAAAGTTCAAAATCTTACTGGCTTTTTTACTTTTCTGTTAAAGTTTATAACTTGAGTGACCTTCAATTTAAGTTCATAATTTGTCTAACGATCTAAATTTTATTTTAATTTTTCTGATTTGCTTTTGCCAAAAGGATTACAAATAAATTTATTTTCTTCAAAACCAAAGTAGCAAGTGTATCACCTTAAATTTAATTTTCAATAAATAAGGAATTTCATAAATTTCTGAAATAATAAAACTTTCATTTTTAATCCAAGTTTCATCAAACATTTTAAATAAAGAAAGGGATTACAAATTTCATCAAACAGTTGCTACAGGACTTATTCAATACAATAATTTTCAAAATAATATCCTAAGTCCTATAGCAGTTCCATCTACCCTTTTTACTGAGTCCGGTGTTGATCATTTTGATTACCTGAAAAATGAATGTAAGGGTGAGTACTCTACACTACCCAAAAACACACAGTCAACATAGAGTCTCACCTCCATCACATTTTCAATACATTAAACAAATACAATCACAGGCAGCATTATCACACAACTTATGTTCATTTAACATCGATGCACTCACGGCATCGGCAGCACTTCACATCCATAAGTACAATTCATAAACCCGTGCATACGCACGCCAGCCACACTCACTGTGGCACTGTGATCACAGATTTACATAATGAATGATTGCCGGTTACCCCGCCTCACGGATACCATGTGGGCAATCACGGGTCGCTCAGCAAAGATAGTGGTCAGAGGTCTAGTCAGGAAGAGAGTGTGTGGCCCGTGGTGCATCTGTTCCATAGTCGGTGTCACCACCACTCCCCCTTCCCCAAGGTATTTCTACTGTCCTCATCTTTCACACCCCCAATGTATCGTTAAACCATTTACAACACATTATAACGGCATTACGCGCCCCATTCACATACATTTCATTCACACACAAAATATTCATGCTTACACACGGCACACAGTCCACATTTACATTCAAATACACGGCACTATGCCCACATTCATTTCACATCATACAGCACGTAGCCAATACTCATTTATATTACACGGCCTTCGGGCCCACATTTGTTCACAATATCATTAATTCACCAATCAATGGCATTCCATCACACACAATCACCCCCACGAGGCCTAACTATTCCAGCACACATCACATTGCACACCAATTTCCATTCAACACACAAATTCTACTCCCTATCTCAGCCACATTGCATTAATCAATGAAACACACAAGAATTATAACACATTGAGATAGGGTAGAGTCTCCTCTTACCTTGGATTGAAGACTCACACTCGGATTCGACCACAGACGTGCTCCCTACACAAATTTTGGCCTAAAACACATGGAAGAACTTCATAAGAATCCAAGGAAACCCCGAAACAGAGAAAAGGGGATGAGAAACGGAACCTCAACCATTAAAACTCACCTCCAAGCGTTCTCCACGCGGATTCAACCCTCAATCAAGCTCACGAACGACTTTGGAGGCAATTTAATCGGTGAAAAAGGGTTTGTAAATAAGAAGATCAAAGGGATTTCGAAGGGAGAGGGAGAAATAATCCTCCCTAAACTTTAACCCCCTTTAAATCCTTTTCTGGTCGCGACACTCTCGCTACAGCGAGACAGTGAGATATTCTCGCCCTCTCGCTGCAGCGAAAATATCAGACGAAACTGCACCCTGGTTTTTACAGAATCTCGTTACAGTGAGACCTTCTCGCTGCAGCGAGACTACATCCAGGAATGCACTCCAAATTGTCGCTCTCTCGCTACAGCGAGAAGGTGACAGTTCCAGTCCTTCCTCCCAGGGTCCGCTCGCTACAGCGAGAATTCTCTCGCTACAGCAAGAACAACCCAGAATTACTCTCTGCACTTAGGCACTTAGCCCATTTCAGCCCTATCCAGTCATGCATACACACAATACACATATCCATATACTTAATACACATAAACATCATTATCAAGTAAATCAACACATACATATATATATATATATATATATATATACATTTAAATTTATATAAATAACAATAATTAATATTACTAAATTTAGAGCGTTATAGCAAGCTCATAAGCAAATCCTATTTTACTTTGCAAAATAGGAATTTTGTGCCATTATAAGCTAAAGTATACACTAAATACAAAATAGTCATACATGAAAATAGAAAAAGAAATAAGACAAAAATTTGACCTTTTGTGAGAGGTTCATAATTATAAGTTTGAGAGGCAAAGAAAGGGAAAAAAAAGCATGAGAGAAGAACTAAAAATTCAAAAGGAAGAATGGAGAAAATTTGAGAGAAAGCACAAAGAGAAATATTTAAAATAAGGAGAACATTAAGGAAACACAAAAAGAGCCAAATAATCATTTCTTCTTATTTTAGATTAATTGTATCTAAGATTAATATATTTTAATATGTTTTGTACATTGTGCACCTTAGCTAAATGGGTTCATTGATACATATGTATACACCATGAACATAAATACATAAATTTCATGTAATAAAATTATAATCCTAGAAGGTTCACATATAATTAAAATACATTAAGAGAGTCAATAATAAAAAGATAGGTATTGAAATGAACCTAAAATCTAAGAACCATCACCTATAAATTAATTTCATCATCCTTAGCCACGTTGAAGCATCTATAAAGACTCCCAATTGTCACCTTCAACCATTGTGAGCCACCTTCACAATGTTGTCTCACCTCTCTTCTCCCCCTCTCTTTTTCACCTTCCCCCTTTCCCTTTCCTTTTTTCTCTTGTCAATCTTTGCCAACACTCTCCCAACGTTTGTTGGAGATGTGTCTAAGCTTTATATGTACATATTCATTTTGAAAGTTGAGATTTTATAGAAGTTTCAACTCTTTTTTTTTTATTTTCCCAAATCAATCCGCTATCCTATTATTTTGTCTTGTATGTCATATAAAAAAGAAAAAAAGTTTATGATATTCAGACGGTGAGTTATTGGTCAAAACAAGTACCAAGTGAATTAATTAATTTGAAAAAGGAGTAAACTTTCATTTTTAGTCTTTAAAATATGCATGTCGTTCAAATTAATTTTTTAAATTTGAAATTTAAAATTTTAGTTCTTAAAATTAACAATTGTCAGTCACGTTAGTCTTTACTATTAAAAAAATGTTAAATTTGAGTAACAGAGTGATGATTTATCATGATTAGTGACACATGACACTCTATTCTCGATACAAACGACGTCGTTTTAGAATTTTTCAAAAATAGTTTATTTTTGTCTTTAACTTTTAACATTTTCAGACAATAAGGTCCTTCCTCGTCATTGTTTTGCCTTCTTTCATGACATCTTTATGTAAATATAATATTAATTGATTTACCTTGTGATTAGTAAATGATATTTTTTATATATCAATAATATTAATAAATATATATATATAATTTATAACACTAATATGCAATGACTTTATCTTTATGCATTTTAAATTATCAAAACTTATGTGTATTAATATTACTTTAAGTCTTATGTGAATATATTTAAAAATTAAATCTTGCTCTTAAAATTAATCAATTATAAAATAATTTTATTCAATTAAAATTGTATTTAAAATATTTTTCTTTAATTATCAAATGATTAAATTTATTTTAAATTTAAATCATGATTCACCTTCAATTAATTATATGATAATTAAGGTATATTTCTTTTAATTTTATTGAATAATCAAAATATATTCTCTTAAATAGTTTTTTATTTATCAAATATAATTTATTTTTTTATTTTATTTTATTAAATAATTATCTTTAAATATATTTTTCACTCTCTTGTTTAAATATTTTTCCTTTTATTAAATAAATAATAAATTTAATAATTTTAAAATTTAATTCATTTTGTTAACTAAGAAAACTAAATAATCAAGTATTTAAATATATAAAATTAATTTTTTATTTTATTATTCAATATTTTATAATATTGTTATTGTCAAATAACTCAAAAAAAATTTATGTATATCTTATATTATCTTAGATCATTTGTAATATTTGTAATATGAGTTTTTTTAATTAAAATATCTACTCAAATATTTTAAATTAAAATACCTTATTTTTATTATTAAACTTCTTTTTCTCGTAAAGATTTATAATATGGATATATAATCTTCTCTTGCCTCCTATTTTTTTATTATATGGTAATATGGTGTATTCTAAATATTATAATTTTATAAAAATAATTTTAATCTTAAAATAATTTTTTTATTAAAATTTTAATTAATAATATTTTTTTATAATTTTTAAATATAACTATGTCACTTTTGAATATCCTATTACAATAGAAGATATGTAAGAACAAAGATTAGATCCGCCAAATTAAAATAATTTCTCTTCTTCATAAGATATCATTTAATACTTTTAATAAATTTTTTATTTTTTTAAAATAAAAGTATTAAAATTTATTGTTTAAAGATTTAATAAACATTTTTAAAATTACAATAAATTTACATAATTAATTTAATATAATTATTGTTTAAATGAATATCGTAAGGTGTTTATTTACACGTAAATGACACACTTAGTTTCTAAATTTTTTAAAATAAATTTTAGGAGTGATTCTTCTATTTAAAAAAATATTTATTCTTAATTAATTTAAAAAAATCACTTTTCATCCTGTTGCCATCCATGTTGCAACATAAAATATATTATTTAATAATAAAAAATTCAAATATAAACAGGGTAATAAATATGTTATTAAATGACCATGAGTAAAATAAGATATATCATATATATCTTAAATGTGATATATTATATATGAAATATTATATATGAAAAGTGCTTCTTACATTAAATGATTGTGAATAGAATAATATATGTTTCATTAGATGGGAAAAAGTAAAATAAGATTATATATATAAACCCGAATTTGAACAAACCATAGAGATTCGATGGCCAAAATAATTCACATAGCAATTTTTTCACTCCCTACATATAGTCACCAAGCCTCCATTATTGAGTTCTGCAAAAAACTCCTTCATCTCCATCAGCAATTTCATGTCACTTGTATCTTTCCCACCATTAGTTCACCCATCCCCGCCACTGTCATTTTACTTAAATCCCTTCCTTCTACCGCAAACTGCATTTACCTCCCTCCTGTGAATGAAGAAGACCTACCCAAAGATGCTCCCTTAGCCATGCAAGTCCAACATGCAGTGTCTCAATCCTTATCATCTTTCCGTGACACATTGTCATCACTTCATGCAACCACACCACTTGCTGCTTTGGTTACTGATGTTTTTGCAAACGAAGCATTAGAAATAGCAAAGGAGTTCAACCTCTTGTCATACATATACTTCACTACTTCTACCATGACACTTTCATTGTTATTACAATTTCCAACATTACATGAGAAAGTTTCAGGTGAATATCCAGATCACATAGAGAGTATTCAAATTCCAGGCTGTATGCCTATTCGAGGACATGATCTCCCAGACGATTTTCATGATCGATCTAGCGTTGTTTATAAGTTAATTCTTCAACGAAGCAAGAGGTTATCTCTTGCTGATGGTTTCTTGGTTAATAGCTTCTATGAAATGGAGGAAGATATAGTGAGATCCTTGCAAGAACATAGTGGAAGTAGCAAAAATAATGCCCCCATTTACCTAGTTGGACCAATCATACAAACTGGGTCAAGTAACATGTCAAACATTTCACAATGTTTGAGTTGGCTGGAGAACCAAAGGCCTCAATCAGTTTTGTATGTGTCCTTTGGAAGTTTATGTAGCCTCTCTCAACAACAGCTTAATGAGTTAGCTTTGGGGTTGGAGTTGAGTGGTCAAAAATTCTTGTGGGTTTTGAGAGCACCAAGTGATTCAACAAATCCAACTTTTGTTGGTGCTAGAAATGATGACCCTTTACAGTTCTTACCACATGGATTCCTAGAGAGAACCAAAGAACAAGGATTAGTTATTCCTTATTGGGCACCTCAAACCCAAATCCTTAGTAACATTTCAACTGGGGGATTTATAACCCACTGTGGTTGGAATTCGACACTCGAGAGCATTGTGATGGGTGTGCCAATGATAACTTGGCCACTCTGTGCTGACCAAAAAATGAATGCTATTTTGCTAGCTGAGGGCCTCAAAGTGGCATTAAGGCCTGAATTTAATAAGAATGATGGCACAGTGGAAAAAGAGGAAATTGCTAAGGTGATTAAAGGTCTCATACTGGGTGATGAAAGGAATGAGATTCGCCAAAGAATAGAAAAGCTCAAAGATGCTGCTGCTAATGCATTCAAAGAACATGGGTCCTCTACCAGAGAACTTTTCCAATTTGGCACTCAAATGGAAAACTTATTTCTGAGGGAGCCATTCAAGTAAATTAATTGTCCTTCTTAAATAAATGTAATAGAAAGTTGGGAATTTTTTTCTTTTAATAAAAGGTATTAGTTAAATGGATAAAATGTAATATTTGAATTTTATACAAATCAATTGATGAACAAATGATGGACAATAGTCTTAAACAATATAGCAGTGTCATCCAACAAAAATACGCGTGTTGGCCTAAACTTCCTTTAAACTCTATTTCAATGAAAACTACTCACTTAAAATTAAAACAATATTTTTACTGTTATATTATTGTTGCTAAAAAAATAGAACAAAAAATCTCAATACAACCACAATATTGTTATTAATTAATATAACTAATTTAATATCTATTAATATATTAAATATGATGTGCAAATGTATGATCTCTAACCCATTATCAACATATTTTTATTTTTTACCATATTGACAAATTTGCTTCTATGAAGTACAAGTGTAGGATTTTAACTTCTTAAGAGTCAAATTTTGACTCCTTTCATTTATTGTGCATTAAGCACATACCACTCATGCGTAGCCATTTTGTCTCTTTTAATTCTAAATTATTGTCTCTTTCAATTTCATCTTTCAATAATAACATGGGTATATGGTATAATTATTCTAATTACTTGTTTCCCATGCATCCAAAACAAGTTAGCTGATGATTCAACCAAATGTCGATGCTTTGTTTCTATAATAAATATTTTGTTTCATCAAAACTAACAAAACTAATAAAAAGTGATCGTATTTTGTAAATTTATACTCGATTCTAAAAATACTCATGGTATTAGATAATTAAATTAGTCTATTATATATTAAATAAATAAATATATTTACTTTTACAAATAAATGGTAATTACTTTATCAATATAAATTTTACAAAATAAAAAATATTAAAAAAATTTAATCATTAATATATCTAAAAGAAATATTGTTTTTTATATTTAAAAAATGACAATTATATTTTATAAACAGGACTAAAATATTGATTTTATTTACATGAGACATTAGATGTATTTAATTGTCGTCATTACTAATGGCTCAAGCAATTACATATATCTAGGTATGTGTGTGTTCACAAATCAGTGGCTCAGGGGTTTGTGATATTCTGCATTATTTACTAGAACATGCACACAATCTTGTTTTAACATGTGGAGTACATTGAAGTGCACCCAAAAATTCAAAATATTCATTAAATTCACTTAATGTACTCTACACATGCAGTTTTAATGAAATTTTGCAGATATCTCAAATTGTCATTGCACCGATTATTTAAAATCAGATGACTCTTCTTTTCTAATATTCACACACTTTCACTTAACATACCAGCACATGTGCATATACACTCAGATTAAAATTCATTCTAAAGCCAACAATTATACATTAAGGTAGGGCTAACATACACGCAGTCAAATCATCACACAGATTTCATGAGTTAGGGATGCATCAATAACTATATTAGTCCAATCAAACTGAAAACATCCAAGTAGTAGGAATAAGGGTATTCATTCTCGCGCTGCAAAGCAGAATTTATGGTAACTAAGTGTTATAAACATCTTAGAACCTTCATGAGAAGCATCTCTTCTAACATGGAAACATGGTACAGTGCTGTGCAATTAGATACTCCTTTGATGTAATAACCTACGTGCAGTGGAGTGCCGAAATTTCCTTTCCTGATGCGGACAAGTATATATGCAATAGGGTGTGGAAAATACTCTTGTTAATATGAAATTATGCGTATGATAGAGTGCAGGAATTATTTTGTTTCAACACAAAATTTGTATGTGATTAAGTGCAGAAAAATACCCTCTTTGATGCAGAAACGGGTGGATGCAATAGCGTGGAGAAAATACTCTTTTTGGTGTAGGATTGCATATGTGGTAGGATGCAGAAAATAGATTCTTTAATGCACAATTTGGTATGCAACAAGTACTGAAAAATATATCCTTTTTTGGCAGAATTGCCTATATTCGAAACACATGAAATGCAAGCTTGTTAAGTCATTGGATGTAAGAAAAAGTTGGGCAACAAGGTGCAGTAAGTAGAATGCAGTAAAGTACTAAACAGCTCATTCTTTGATATTAGAGATAATTATGCAGTAAGATGCATTATGCAGAGTGGTAATCCTTTTGATATGAAAAAGTGTAAGATTCCCTTTTTGTGCAGAGATGATCATGCAGCAAAATCTAGTGCAGTGTTTCCTTTTACATAAAATGACTTCCTTTTGATGCAAAGATGATTATGCAGCAAATGTAGAAGTACACAAAAGTGTTTCTTTTGATGCAGATCCTCATGCGGCAAAGATGCATTATGTAGATTGTGGCAGAGTGCAAAATAACGTTTCTTGATAAGAAAATAGTCATGTAGCAGAATTTTTGAAGTAGAATGAAGTGTGCAAGATAATATGTTCTTTTGGTTGGTTCAAATTTTTATTTATTTTTTAGTAGTTTAAACATGCAGATCTCTTAGTAGACTAGTTCACTGCACACAGGGACAAACCAATTGTCATCTATTCTGAATTTGGTTTTTCTTGAATAGTCTGCATAATTTCCTAAAATTCACTAAGTCACTTATATACAATTTCATAACACAACCACAACATAGCCATTAAAAATTAGCAACACTTAGTTCATTAAATTAAACTGTCCAGCAGAGTAAAAAGGCAATTTACACAGATGAAACGAGATGTTGAATCATATGATTCATATGCTATGAGGTGACCCCACTGCAATTGACAAATTAAAAGGAAAATGGCAAGAAGCTATGCAGTATAGTTAGGAAAATTCAAGTGTCACTGTGATGAATAGTAGCAAGAATTTTGTACAAAATCTCTAAGCGCGTAGGTGTCCACCAAAAAATACAGCAATAATTTAAGACAAGGAAGAAAAGTTTCATTTTAGTGCATACGAAATTCACACGACTTTTGGTCCAATGATTTTTAGTCCATTAACTAGCATAGCATAATGATCTAAATCACCAAGATGACATCAATGCAATGAGTCCAGATTCAAGTACAGATTTATAAAGAAGTGGGTGAAAGTGTATTGTAATTGGGTTTAGAGAGTATAGTAATCTGGTACATAACATATACAGATATTTATAGTATGAGAAAAGTACACTAGGAATAGTCATGATGAACTTTCAGTGTGAGAACACCCAGTTTCGTAGCAGGAGTGTGTGTTTGTGATTTCAGATTTTAGCATAGGGGCAACAAGTCTTAACACAGAAAAATAGAACTAGGCAGTGAGTAATTTCAAGGTTTAATGTGTTAAGACAGAAATAGCCAATCTAAAATTTACTAGAGCGGACTCAACACCTTTCAGGAAATTCAAACTCTTACTGAATCAAGATACACATACACAGAAGTCATTATATATTCGTATTGTCCATGAGTTCCAAGATTAAAAGTGAAGATTACGTGTCTTATTAAAAGGCATTACGAACAACAATTAAAGCATATATGTAAGGCACAGTCACTGGGTTCAATTTCTACTAGAAAGCAGTGTGTCAGGAAGGAGGGACAGGAAAATCTTACTAAACGCACCAAATTTCAGTCTCAAACAAATGTACCAATTCTCGGTTCAAGTCACAGCAGATTATACCATGATCATAATTTACTATGTCAAGGCAATTATCATGTAGCTTAGCTTAAAGTGTAAATTTGGAGTGTATGGTAGTATGGTACCTAGCATGTAAATAGTTTAAAGTGTGGGGCTGTACTATCAACCAATGTAGCAGATTTCAGTACAAGGCACAGAATCTACAAGATAAGTATGTGGATTTTGTAGTGCAGAAAATAGTAACAAGTTTTGAAACGATAGATAGAATCATGCAGAAAAGTGGTCACAAGTCCAACGAATATCAATGTTTTATTATGTAGAAAAGTGGAGATAAATTCAGAGATTAGAAGTGCAGAATTATGCAGAAAATAATAATAAGTTCAGAAGATATAGATGTAGAATTATGTAATATGCAAAAAACTAGGGCGTCAAGACATCATACAGTTCAGGTTCACAAAATAATATAATTTCTGGTGTGTGCATTTCATATTAAAATGCGGGTCATAGTTTCATGCAAACGGAACTTTAGCAAACAACAAGTAGAATGCACAATACAATGATTAAATTTGGAGTTTCCTTTAGAGAAAATAATTTAGATTAATGATAGGCAGCATAAAGCGTTTAGGGACAGGATGTTAAATTCTCCCCCTTTTGGCAGAAACTCGTAAAATGGGATAGCAAAATCAATATTTTCGAGTACAGGTAGGGAGGATAAAATGTGAAATACTCCTTTCAGTTTTCAAAGTTTTTGAGTATCAAGTGCATAAACATTATTCCCACATTTACAACCAATGCAGAGAAGCATGCAAAGATCACAAATTTCTGAGAAGAAAAGAATGTACAACAATTCTGCACATGAACAATTCAAAAAGTTGCACAACAAATAAAGAACACACACAGTGATTACGCATGCAACCTCTGGAATTCATCATGCACTGGGTTTCCAGTTTAATATCCATGCAAAGATGGTAGGGTTAATATATCCATTTAGAATGGACACATCACAGAACACTCAAACAGACACAAAATCTGGACACCAAAGAAGAATATATTCATAAAATCAGTCTCAAATCAAGGGTAACATAATTTTCAATATCAACATTATTTCAGTCAGGTCCATTTATAAAAACATCAAAAGCACTAACTAAAAGAAAAAGGGACAAAGTTGCATGCAATCAAATCAAATACTCGATCACGTTTTATGAACACCTCCTAGTTCATTAAGATGTTCAGAACAGGAAAGAAAAACAAAGAAAAGTTACATGCATGCACTCTGATCAGCGGTTTACACACAGAGTAACAATGAAAACATGCATACGACATATTTACCCAATCACCACAAGAAATTTATGGACTCCCCCTACCTTGAATCCAACTACATGCAGAAGTTGCAGGGTTTGGGGGAGAGATCCAAAAAAATATACCTTATTTGGGGTTTCACGTAAGGAAAATGAGGAAGACATAACAGATAGGTGTAGAAGTTTTCTTGTTAGGCTCTTGGTTCTTAGGAGCAGAGCGGAGGAAAATTCAATAGAACATACAGTGGAATGATAGAACAAGAGTTGGTGCTCTTGGAGTTCAGAAACAGCATTCCATGGTGGTGGATACGAGGTAGGAGGGAGTCTAAGTTATCTTAAAATCATTAAAACTGTGTCGCATGCAAATGTGTTGGTATAATATCTTGGTACTCTGAATGTACATGTGCATGCACGAGATTTCCTTCATTTTCTTTTTATTTGGTATTATAGCCTCGGGTTAATCTTGAGTGTTTTTTTGTTAGATTATTTTAATAATTTTATTATTATGGCCTATGTAACTTATAGCAGACGCTAATTAATGATTTAATGTGATAGTGGTTAAATATAAAATATAGAGTTATAGAGGGCATAATTGTAAATATAATTATAAGAAAACTCTCTTCTCTCTCTTCATATAAATAAAAGAGCTGTTACCAGATAGGGGTTACAACATTTTTTATTTTCTATTACTTTTACGGTCTCTAAGTGTGTTCACGGTAAACGCAAGAAAGAAATTTTCTCTCAACCATCTGAGAGGAGAGGAGCTAAACGAGGAAAGAAAAGTTGGGGAAGATACAAAATATCAAAAAGAGAGGTAACATCAAGGAACAATGGATTCAAATTAGTGCTCTCTAAATCTTGAATTGTATGAGAACCATGTATTATGTTGTGAGAACAACGTAATTCAAGATTTAATGGGAAATGATAATTTCATAATTGTCATTGCATAATAAAAATTACATAATGGATTAAGAAAATTCTAACATTTTTTTGCTGATTTCATATTTGTGTGAATGAGAATCTTTCTCCTTCTTTCCTGAAAATTTTTCGCTTCAGTAGTTCAAAAAGTAGTGGATAGGAGAGATGTTTTGCTGTGATATTTGGATGTGCGTTCTTGCATGTTTAAGGAAGGCTATATTTTATCGTTATATTACAGTATTTATTTTGTGATCATAGAGCAATGTTACATGAACATTTTATGAGAATATGTGGTTGAGAAATCTATCGTGTGAATAATGAATAGAAAGATGTTTGTTTGATTGTTTAGACTGATTGGTTGTTTAGACTAAATGATTGGTATATGCATTATATGATGAGTACTCCATGTGAAATATTATCAAACTTGCTGAATGACTATGATGTAATTTTATGGAATATATCTGAATGAAATGATATGGTAAAATATGATATTGATCTGAATGATTTAATAGTTGTAACTACATTAATAAGGGTATGAGTAGAATGAATTGGAGTGGAATTAGTCTGGAAGTGCTTTACTAAACACGATCTTATGAATGGGAGAAAAGATAACTCTAAGAATGATCTTAAGTGTCGAATATGTATTGGACCTAGTGTGAATAGTTACAGAGATACATTGGGAGTATAGAGTCCGAAGACGATGAAAAATCTGGGAGAAACGTAGGGTGGTGAGCGACATTCGTGTATGTGTATACACTCTTTCTGAGAGCAAATGTGTCACATGATCTCACACTCGTTTTCTGACTAGACTCTTGACTATACTTTTACTAAGAAGCCCAATTATTGTATACGTTGTATCCGTGTGCATCGGCTAACTGGCGACTATTTACCTAGTTGAGTAAGACCTCAAGAAATATTGGAGGCATCGAAATCTATGATCACAATGCACTGGCAGTGCGTATTGGAATGAGAGAAATGGATAATGTAAAATAAATTGTTGAGTTGGATATAGATATGAATATGTTTGCAAGATGAATAAGTGTGAAATTGAATATATTATATTTATGTTATAAATTATGATTCTATGTTAAATGTTTTGTAATTAATAGAAGTCACTCATCCTTACTAATATTTTCAGAAAATTAGGATGACGGAGCCTCATGAAAGAGTTAGATTAATATATAGCTCAGTACATAATAGGCTTAATTTTGTATTTAATGAATATCAAAGAGAATGTTATTTTAAATTTATTGTTCTTTTGGAAGATGAACCTAGGACTTTTATTATGTTAGAGATGAATTTCTTTTGTAGTATCCCTTTTGATTTTCCTAGAAGCAAAATGTATCAGACTTTATGTATTTTTATCTATAGTGGTATTGTTAGAACTTCAATAGTCCTCACCTATCTATTTACCTATCACGATCACAACTATCTCGAGAGACTGTCTAGATGGACATTCGAGCGAGTGAATGGTACAGAGGTCACAGTTGATTTAGGCAATCATTACCTTATATCAGATGATGATTTGGATTCAGAGAATTTGGTTGAGATAGAGAGTTGGTATGCTGGTGATGAATAGGATCGATTTTCAGTATTTGGTTATGTATGAGACTGCTCTGGGACTTGAATTTGTATATATGATGTAATTATTTTGGTTATGTAAATATTGTTTTAAGTCTCCTATATTTTGACAAACAATTTGTAAATTTTTATATTTGATATATAATGTATTTTCAGATTTTTCATTGAGAATACTAAATTTTAGTTATGATATTTATTTATTCTCTCTGTAATTTATTATTGTTGTTCTATTAGCATTGCAAAGTTCAAAATTATCATCTACATACGTATATTTTAAAGAAAACTTCACTAATTTGCTATAAGTTCATTACACCCAGAAACTAATGTTTTATATCAAATTGTTAAGAATAAGATGCACATGGTACGGATTTAAAAATTTTAGGGTGTTACACAATATAAGCTTTAAGTGAAAAACCCATATGTCCTTTACCATTAAGGATTGGTGGATATAAGTTATGAGTTTCTGATCTTAGTGTATAATTGTGTATTCATTGCTTGGGAACAAGCAAATCTCTTAAGTTTGTAGTTAGATGGTACAAAGAGTACTTGTGGGATAGCAAGATTACTTGTTAAAAAAAAAAAGAGAAAATGAAGGAAAAAATAAAAAAGAAATGATGAAACAAGGAAAAAGAAAAAGAAAACAGAAAAGAAAGTCTACAAAGGTGTGCAATACAATGAAAAAAAAAATAGAACATACAAAGTTGATGCAAATAGAGTGAAAGGTGTAACTTATTATGATCTTTATGAACTTAGCTCATCATCTTATATCCTCTAATCTTCTTTCATTTAGCTACATTCATCCATATTATCCACTTTGACTTTAACCCCAATACATTACAACCGTAACAAAAGTCCTCATGATATCTGTTTTCATGTGCATAGGCAGTGGAGATTTTAGAATATTATCAAGCCTATAGTAGTATATCTTAATATGAGATGGCAAATGAGAGTAAACATTGTCCTTAAACACTTAAGAGTGAGAGTAAAACACTAACTCTAGAAAAGAATGTGATTTGGGTTTATGTTTTTCTATTTGAAGCTACTGCGCATTTCATTTTTGTAAGTAATTCAAGTTGGATTTAAGATATTACTGTGTAAGATGTTATCAATGTGAGATTTGTATGACGTTTACTTAAATTTGTGAATCTAATACAAGCTGGTCTTCTTTATAAGAAAGTTGGAAATATAAAATTTCATTGCAAATGTAGTTCCTATGATATTCTATGATATAATCTTGTTAATTTAGAAAGTAGTGCGTATAAAATATTTATTACAAATTAAAGAACCTGTTTTAAAAGGAAAAGAAAAAATGAGTAATCATGCTAAAATGAAATATGAATTTTTCATTACACAATAAATGCTTATGGAATAATTCAGTTTGATTCCTGCTATTATTATAAGCGTTTGTCAAATGTTTTCTCTTAATATTTCCATATCTAATGGTTTCATACTAATTTTTCAGGGAAAGAGATGCACTGTTATCCAAAATTTTTCATGTCCAAATAAAATAAATTCCTATATATTTACTGTACCTGGATAGACATTTATTATTAATTTATTATATAATTTAAATAACATTATTCAGCTCAAAGCATGACACTACTTTTTTTTTTCTAAAATAATATTTGATTCTATACGTAGTTATTCATGAATATTTAACAATAATAAACCTCCCTACACAGGATAAATTTTGTTGAACTTGTTAAATCAAATGAAAGGATTGACATTGCTTGATTGTACCATAGTATGACAATTATTATTGTTCCATCAATAATAAGGAAGAAAATAAATCAGAACACGTGCAGAATAGTACTCCTGCACAGGATCCATAGGTACGCGTTGGTGGAACTACCAATTAACTTTATTTCAAAATAAAATCGTAACACTCAGTGAGTCAAAATCTATTAATACTAAACATCAAACTTAAAACATTTCTGTTAATAACATTTTATAAAATACAAAATAAATCAATTCAATTATTAAATTATCTTATATTAATTTTTAATTAAATTTTACGTCATTTTGAACTTATAAATATATTATACAAAATTTAATGTTTATTTATATTTTAAATAATATGGTGAAAATATCAAATAATGTACTCACCTGCATCTGTTCTCGTAATTCTTCATAAAATTAAATCATTTAGTAGATAATTCTGCAATCTTATGAATTTATAACCCATTGAAATGGTGTCTAGATCTGATTATCATCCTTTGTCGCACATAGTTCTACAGACTCGATGAACAATCAATTGAACATCTAACTGTCATGGCTAGTTTATTGCTGGGAACATTTATTCACTCCACACGCTACCCTTATCTACAAGTAATTAGAGGTGCATAAAGTACATGTAATACATAGAAAGCTAATAACTCCCCTGAAATCAGATTCGAAAGAAGCGAGAATCGCTAATTTGGCATGTGGTCGGCGACCAAGTAATCAATAACGCCTACCACCAGCTGTTGACAGAAGAACTCGATTTGGTTTCTTTCCCTTCTTCCCCAAGTCATTTGTCTTTGGCACATTCAAGCTTGTATTTGATTCAGCTCTTGATATCACGTGGGAGTATGATTGTGTCTCCCCGTTTCTCAAACCTACAGAATCACAGCAGTCAAGAAATTCGGTTGCATAGCATAACAAAATTTAGCATGCAGAATATATCAAATTGCATGAACATATAATACCCGTTGTAGCAGAAGAATCTGTGGTCATATTGGTATTAGGTAGACCACTTGTTTCTTGAATTTGTAAGGATGGAGAATCATGACCAGCAGCAAAACCAAGTCTAGTAACATTTGAGAACGATTTTCTCTCCCCAACAACTGGAGGACTTGATGACATAGTTGAATTTCCCAGAGCTAAACAAAACACACACAAAAATTATATACACCATAGCACATCATTAACTGCAATAAATAAAACAGTGGAAGAAGAGGCAGCTTGAATAGCCATAAAGCCCAAGTACAACAATGGAAACTAAGCCACGTAACACAAACAATAGCAGCTCACATAACATTATATTTCTACAATAGCAAAGTATCGAATCATGTAACCACCAATTTTGATAGAGGTCCAACTCCAACATTAGGCCCAAAGAAAGGAAGCCCAAGACAGCAGTTAGTCAACACTAGAAGAAAAGATGGAGGGGGAAAATCGGTGAAAAGCAAGGAGAAAGTTGTGGAAAATAGATAATTATGAGGAATTTGTTGCGACTGTGGGAAAGAATCACGACAACGCCGTGTCAATAGAGGTGGTTTTTGGTGTGATCACCAGTATAAAGATAAAGGGAAGATGGGGTATCCGCAGGCAATTATCTTTTTTGGCATTGTGCTTGGGGATAATCTGACTCCTACTGGAGAATCCTGGTGATTTCTTTGCTTGCTTTGGATTGGAGTTCTAGCACAGTTTTTATTTCCATTATGGAACAACCTCCATAACAATCACCCTCTCTAAAGGAATTGTTAATAAATAACAGCAGAACTTTTATCCTAACTGTACCAATTTCCTTCTTCCAACATCCAGAAAGTAGATTACCTTCAAAGTCGTCCATGGAGAATGTCGGAGGTGATTCACGAGAAGAAAGCTGATAATTCAATGGTATGGGAAGAGAATATGTAGAAGTAGCTTCAGCCTTTATCTTTTCCTTCCGTTCCTAGAACAAGAATATAACATAATTCCAGCAACATGGGAAGGCACATTTCAAAATATGTGGATGCCAAAACAAAAAAAATACTTGAAATGTGAATAAATGGCATGTAACATAATAGAATCAATACCAACTGCAGGCCTGTTTTAGTAACATAAAACCAGTATTGACTTGCAATTAGAAGGGTTTGGTGCCCTGTTTGAATAACCATAACAGAGGTTACAGAACCCAGGTTCAACTGTAAAAAGTATTGGGCTCCACATTCACAAACCCAAACCTAAAAAATAAGTGTGCACCACCCTAAAGCCTAGACTGACCCAACCCTGATAAGATTTCCTTAACACACAAATTCCCACACGTGCATACCAGACAAAAAGATTTACAAAGAATTGAGACTAGACTAATAATGAAAGGAAAAAGTTCATAAAAGCACCTTTCTGAGAAATTTCACTCAATCAATCCTATTCTTTGAAACATGCATTACATGTGTAAAATGTGAATCAAGGAAGACTCAAATCTTATAAAAACTCTGCGAAATCTACATTAATAAAATATGCTAGGCTACATGGATACCTTTTTTGCAAGCTGCTTCCTTTGATTTGCACGTTTCTTTATTTCATCCATAAATGGAGCCAGTGCTTCTGGAGGCAGCATCTCACTCAAATCAACTTCGCAAAGCTGCAAAATTAGCAAACATTTATTACAAATCATCAAAAAATATCCTGGAACTATAAAACTCTTTTAAAATGCACCTGAAATGTTGTGGTCAAAGGAAAATGACTTAAGAATCGATACCGCCTCCTCATGGCCTCAGACTGAGTAATTGTCTCCAATTGCAGGATCCTTCCACTTATTCTGCAATTAGTAGACTTTGGTCAAAAATCAAGTATTTAATGCTCACTAATGATACTCCCAATAGAAAGATGTCCATTCAAGATAATTAACATTTCTGATGAAATGAAAACAAATTCAAGCAACATTTACTGAGTTTTTCTGTTAAGTAGAAACTACAATCGATATTTCATTTGCATTGAATACCATCATTTTAGTCTATAGACGAGGTTCAACTGTATTTTGAAATCAACGGTAATGTTAGGAGATATGGGCCAGCAGGAATAGGATATATGGTGAAATCTTAATAATTTGTGTGATATTCAATTTCTTTTGCACCTATTGTAACCTAATTCCAAATGAACAATTGTGCATAATACTAATGGGTTTGCAAGTCCATCATGTATGGTGTATATATCTTAATCTTTATAAACCAAATCTGAGACACAATTCAATTTATAGCCTATAAATGATATAAGTTCAGCATTATACCAACATCATTAGACCTTAAACAAACAAATAAACACACATTTTTCCATTTACTTCCTGAAAATATAGAAGAAATATAATTTGATTATATTCAAACCTGTGCGGAAGCATATCATAGCTCCCATAATGGTGAAGTAAACACTTCATGTTTAGAGGATGAAGAATTAGATGTTGACCATCAGCAGCCTGAAATAAGAGCATGGTGAATAACTAAGCCATCAAGGAGGAAAGAGGTCAGAGTCTAGAAATCCTATTTCGATGCAGCAGCCTCAACAATATTTTGACAATTTGGCAATTTTCCACATAATGATGTTGTAACCAAAAAATCATAGGATACAAGAAAATCAGATAATAGAGAAAGGAGCAGATGCATGACTGACAGTGAATGTTCAAATAGTAATTGCCAAAAGTAGATTAATAAGCCTTAATGATCTTCTGAACCTTTATTTTCTTTTAACTTGTGTTTTCAAGAAAGGTCATGAATATTTTATTATTTATCTTCAAGTAAAATTTAAGAGAACCAAACTAAGAAAGTTCACAATGACCAACTAAATGTCAGAGCTATGCTATTATTGCATACCCATAATCAGAGATTGAAGCAAACTGATTAAGTTACTGCTGTTGCTAGTATGTTTCCCATTCTCAGTTTGATCTGAAAATTTCCCATCCACTTTGGTTTTCTTAATTTTAGGCTCCCACTTTGTTTTAGAGGAATGGTACAAGAGAGAATGGATCTTAACATGTGAGAAATTCACACGCATGACTATGGTGGGACCCTGTCAAATTTGTTTGCCTATGAAAAGAGAGATGCGCACAGAATTTTCACATTACCTAGTCAAGTCAAAATCTAACATAAGGATCCATTCTCAGTGCAAAAGTATAAACATCTACCATATAAAACTCATCTTAAAATAAATAGACGAAGTTAATTACAGGCCAATTCTGGGATCCCATGCTTCTTGCTCCTTTTAAAAAACAACTTATAAGTAATACATTACAAGGTACTCTCAAGTCTACCAAACCTCAATCCATCTCTTGAATTGCACCTTATTTCAGAACCCCAAATATACATTTTCTGTCTTCTCCAAATTCAACCTATGAATCTTTATTAACTGAGGTACATGAAAGGGAAAGGGATGGAAAGGGACCAATCCCACTTACTTAAAAAGTTCACAAAAAAATTTGAAGGAACAGAGGGGAAGGGTTTAGGACCAAAAGGCTACAAAAGTCAAGAAAGTTACCAACAAAATTTTAGGTGAACGTAGAGGTTTTGGACAAAAGACAGAATCATGGTGTACAAGAGAAGATTAGAGAAGAGGATATGTTTTAAAACTTAGCATGCATGCAATAATGCTAAAAATTGAGGAAAGTATCTGAATGCAAAAAATGAGACAAGAAAAACATTGAGTAAAGCACGTTCTAAGGCTTTTGAAGGGTACTATCAAGATCCTAAAACAAAGTATGATGAAAGAAAAATTTATAAGCTTACAAAAGTAGATATAAAAAATCTAGAGATTTGGATCAAGTTAAATGTACGAATGAAGAAGGAAAAGTTTTGGTTTTGAATTAAGGCATCAAAGACAGATGGGAGAAATATTTCTATAAACTTTTTAATGATAGACAAGGAGTAAATGGAAATATAACAGGATTAGAAGCACAAATTAATGACCTAAATTTGGCATATTACTTTAGGACTCAAGTAGGAGAAGTAAAAGAAACTCTTAAGAGAATGGATAATAGTAAAGAAATTGACCTTGATAATATCCATATAGAAGTTTGAAAAAGTTTGAAAAAATAAAGATTTAATGACTCACTAAACTTCTTAATGAGATTTTGAGATTCAAGAATATGTCAAATGATTGGAGAAAGGACACTTTTGCTCCTGTATACAAGAACAAGAGTGACTTCAAAATTTTGCAAACTATAGAGGGATTAAACTTATCAGTCACACTATGAAGTTGTGGAAAAATGTGATTGAACATAGACTACGAAAAGAAATTAAGACTGCAGAAAATCAATTTGGTTTTATGTCAGGAAGATCTATAACAGAAGCTATATATCTCTTACAAAATATGATAGAAAATTATTGCTACAAAGAAAAAGACTTGCGCATGATTTTTATTGACTTGGAAAAGACATATGATCAGACAGCAAAAAAAGTGGCCATGGAAGGCTTTAGAAAAGAAATGAATCCATGTAGCATATATCCAAGCTATACAAGACATGTATGAGGAGGTAACTATATGCATGAGAACTTTTGGAGGTGATCTAAAGACTTTCCAATAGAAATAGGTTTACATCAAGACTCCGCTTTGAGCCCTTGTTTAATCTAGTCTTAGATGTATTTACTACTTAGAAGTGACACATAAAAAATTATGCCCTAGTCCACGCTCTTTATAGATGATAAAGTGTTAGTTGAAGATTCAAAAGAAAATGTTAGTGCTAAACTTTAGTTATGAAAGGAGACTTTAGAATCTAAGAACTTTTGCTTGAATAAAAGAAAGACAAAGTATTTGCATTATAAGTTTAGCAAAAAAACAAGAAGATGGTCATGTTTTAGAAGTTAAAATTGGAAATAATATTATACAACAACTTTCCAAATTCAAATACTTAGGAGCAATTATACAAAATGATGGAAAAATTAATAAAGATATTACTCACTGAATACAAACTAGATGGTTAAAATGGAGAAAAACATCAAGAGTTATTTGTCACCATAAAGAACCTATCAAACTAAAAGAAAATTTTTTATCGTACTACAATACGATTAGCTATACTATATGGTAGTGAATGCTGGGACTTAAAAGAACAACACTAAAACAAAAATAAAAATGACAAAAATGAGAATGTTAAGGTGAATAAATGAACACAAAAAAGAAAAGGATACAAACAGGAGAATATTAGAATAGCGTTTATAGTGGAAAATATGACTGAAAATTATTTAAGGTAATTCGGTCACGTACAAAAAAAACCTTTGATGGCATCAATACAAAAAGTGGATTGCATGACGTTTAGTCCAATAGAAAGGGATCGAGGAAGACCCAAAAGAACCTTAGACAAAATTATTAAAAAACTTTTTGATTAACTAGAATTTTAAAATTTTGATTTTTGACCAAGTTCAATAGTGTTGTGTAATCATGTAGCCAATCTAACCTAATGAGATAAAGTTTGGTTGTTGTTGTTGTAGTAGGGTGGAAGGGGAACCACTTCCCTCAAACTCTTGCTGTGTTCCCCCACCAAATTGTAATGAGGGGATCATTTCCATTTCACTCATAATTTGAGCTAATTGAGAAGCATTCAAAAGGGCCATAATGAAATTTTAAAGAGAACCCAGGCCTCTACTTTATTATTAATCATTCAAACATAGTAGCACAACTCATCTCCATTTCATCATTCCTCTTTCCATTTCATCACATGCCTTTTCATTTCCTCTCATTCTCTCTAAAACTTCCAAATATAGCATCAAAGCATACAACAATAATATAACTAACATCTTCATCCATCTTTGCAAACCTTAATAATCCTAATTTATCTCCTCACCCATGCCCACTACAAAGCACAAAGTCATCTGAAAATGTCTTTAATTATATCTTACAATTTTGCATGATGTCAAATTGCTCGACATCATCTCTGATATTCAGTTCATATGTGCATCTATCGCATCCAATTCAAAAGCTTTGAAGTAAGAAAAGCAGGATGCAGAACACAACTAAACAAAATTGTCGTAAGTTACCTGGTAGAAATTGTATGAATCATTTTCCTTGGCATCTCCGGTGCCATTTGAATGCCTTTCAATACCATTTTTGTCCTCATATGAAGAAGATAAATTCACTTCCTGCTCTATTAATTCTTTCTCCACATCCAAGGTATTATCTGAACAGGCTTCAGCAATAGACTTATCCAACATTATAACCTTGCTTTGGTCATGGAAATCTGTAGAGGAAGTTCTTGATCCATTAGAACAATTTTCATCATCAGTATCCACAGCATTTCCATCTGTTGATGGTATCTGATGTCCATAATCAATAAGCTTAGAAGATTTTTCACTGTCACAAGACCTGTGCTCATTCCAATACCTCTTCCTCTGTTCTAATTGTTGCATTGCAGCACAAACATAAGGAAGTTTCTCCAGGTCATCAACAAGACCTGAATCAGCTCTGGCCAGCCAACCATCCAGATCTGATATTGCATGTCTCACGGAGAGATCCACATCTGACGTGAGAGTGAACTTGCAAAAGGGATCACATAAATCTCCATCGCCATGTGATGTGACATCTGTCCCTTTTTTATTTTTATGTGACAGAGTAAATGAATCCTTTTTCCTTGTTAAAAAGGTGAACTCAACATTATCTCCCACTCCATACTGTTTGACGTCTGTGATGTGGAGAGTATATAAATCCTTGGCAGATATCATCACAAAGCATAAAGGACACCTTTTCCAGCAATCACCTTTGTGATCCTCTTCACCTAATAACAAGTACTGTAGAATACATGGGAAACAGAAAATATGTCCACACGAGGTTATTTGTGGACACAGTGGACGCTCCAAACAAATTGGACACTGAACTGGAATGGGAGTAAAATATGTCACACATATAATATCTTCCCACTGCAACATTTTATCTGGATCCATCGACTCAGGCGAATAATTTCCCGAATCCAGCACCATGAACTTGTAATTTGCCTGCAAAAACAAATCTTTGTTGTATGGTTTCCTCTTCCGCTGCCTTCTTGATGTAGGGGGAGGAGGAGGACCCCTTGGTTGTGAACGAGATATTGGGTCATAATGAAAATTCAGCAAGTAATTCCCATTCACCATCTGAGCTTTCCTCCCTGCTGAAGGGGCACTTCCGTGAGAATTCAGAGACCCAGGAGTTTGTTGATGTCTATGAGTAGAAACCGCTCCTATCCGTCTTCTGGAGTAACTCCTAGAATGCATTCTAGAGTTTTGCTGGGGTGAAACCTTCATGTCACTTGGAGACCCCAATTCTGTCACCTAAAAGCACACGAGAACAAAATTAATCAACAGATACACGCAAAATATAATTCTACACTTCTATTATTAGACCATGAGGCTTCCATAAACTAAAACCAAAATCATGTAAATAATCCAGCCCTAAATGCGGAAAAACAAAACACCTTTTCGGAAGATCCACCAGAATCTTGTGCAGCTGGAGTCGATGGACCTAATGACAAAATGAATCAGTTAAACAAGCAGAACCATAACACAAAACCACACTCTTCAACTAATCAACTCTCTCTAATCAATCAGTAAACAAAATTCAATATCCCAAAAAACAGGAAGAATAAAAATCCCGCCCTTTGACCAATAAATTCCCAAACTAAAATGTTTAAAAAATTGTCAAAATTTATCCATCGTATTTTCGTTTGCCTAAATGAAAAAAAAAAGGAAAAAACGAAATACGGAAAAATTAGGGGGAATGGAAGAGATAATAAATGAATTGAAAGAAGGAAGCGCGGGAACCTGGGTTATCGGAGATCTGGAGAGATCCGAAAGCGAGGCTGAGTGGTGGGGAAAGAGAAGAGAAGGGTTGAGGAAGAGAATGGATTGGGATTCCATGTTGGGGATTAGGGTTAGGAGATGGCGCAGAGGAAGAAGACGAAGATGCGGCTTGGGTTTGTGAGGGCAAGATGGACATGAAATTTCTGGAAGGAGGGTTAGGGGTGTGTTGGTGCTTCTGCTTCTATTCTATTCTACTTTACCAAACTATATAACATCAAAATAACGCCTTTTATTTATCATTGCCTTCCCCTCTCGGTGGGGATGGGTGGGGTTCAGTATCTCAGCCGCATCTTCGCCGAATATCGCTTTTACCACCACCATCCTTTTTACCAATATTCTTAAGGTTTAATTAAAAAATAAAAATATTTTCCATTTTAAAAATATTGTTTTTAGAAAATTTATAATATTTAGTAAAACTTATTTATTGTTCTTTAATTAATTTTCTTAAAAAAATTTAATCTAATAAAGATATTTTTAGTTTTTTAAAATAATATAAAAAGAGATATTTAAAAATAGGCTTTTTTTATAAATAAATTAAAAAATATTAGTTATGCTTAAAATGTCATGTAAATAACTACAACCTACGTAAAAAAAAACATGTAAATATTAGAAGTCAATCTTTAATTGACTTTTGTTGAGATTTTAAAAATTTATTACACAGAAATTGATTTAAATCAAATTTTATTTTGGTTTTAAAATTTTTTTACACAAAATTTTATTTAAATCAACTTTTATTTTGTTTATAAAATTTTTTTACATAAAAATTAATTTAAATCAACTTTGTTCTGTTTTTAAATTTTTTTAATATAAAAGTTAATTTAAATTAACTTTTATTCTGATTTTAAAATTTATTCAAGTCAAATTTTCACTCACACGTAGATGTTTTTTAAAAATAAATCAATAGTAAGTCAGATAGATTTGTATGGTAGACTTTTAATTTAGTTTATGTAAGAGTTTTAATTATTAAAGCATAGTAGTTTAGGACTTTTAATGTTATATATCTTTTCTTTTAATTTTATAGACTTTGATCTTTTAATTATTAAAATATAGTGGTGTAAAATATTTAATTTTAATCAACTTTAGATTTTATGTACTTTAAAATATATCAACTATGTATTTAGCTTAGCTTAGTTAAATGTATCAAACGATGATAGACAATAAGGCAATAAATAACAAATATTTCTTAAGAAAGTAGTTACATAAACTTAACTATTTTACTCTTAATACAAGAGGAAATAAGACATCAAACAACAAATATATTGTAATAAATTAAATTTAATAATATTACTTTTACAATATAACACAGTGAATTAATTATGTTAGCTAAAGAATAGAGCATATGGGCATCTATGACTCTCTTTTACACAATCTATATTATTTTCATTAGTAAATATCAGTCTCGTCTATTTCATTATAAAACTTCATGAAATTTGATTATTTTTTCTTGTATTATTATTTTCCTCATATTCTTCCAATACTGACTTTTTAATTGTAGCAAAATAATGGGTGGAATGAACAATTAAGCCATCCTATTTTTGAATTTATTTATATATAAAAGTCAATCTAAATTGATTTTCATTCTAGTTTTAAAATTTGTTTACATAAAAGTTAATTTAAATTGACTTTCACTCATACATAGATGTTTTTTAAAAAGAAGTCAATATTAATTCAAATAAATATATATGGTCGACTTTTAATTTGGTTTATGTAAGAGTTTTAATTATTAAAGCATAGTAGTTTATGACTTTTAATTTTATGTTGGTGTAAGATATTTAATTTTAATCGACTTTAGATTTTATGTTCTTTGAAATATATCAATTTTGTATTTTAGCTTAGCTTGGTTAAAATGTATCAAAAGATGGTAGATAATAAGGCAATAAATAAATTTTTCTTAAAAAAGTAGTTACATATACTTAACAATATTATTCTTAATACATAAGGTCATAAACAACCGATACACTACGATAAATTAAACTTAATAATATTAGTTTTACTACATGATACTATGAATTAATTATGTTGGTTAGAGGATGGAGTATATGGGCATGTGTTTGATTGTCTTCTACACAATTTATATCGTTTTTCTTAGCAGAGATCAGTTTCGTCTATTTCATTATAAAACTTCATGAAATTTGATTTTTTTTTTGTATTATTATTTTCATCATACTTCTCCAATATTCGACTTTCTAACTGTGATGCAGTAATCGATGGAACGAATAACCAACCAAGTAACCAAGCTTGATTGTCACATAAATCGACTTTTGTGTAAAAAAAATTTTAAAAGTAGAATGGAAGCCAATTTAAAACGATTTCTGTGTACAAAAAATTCAAACACAAAATTGACTTCGATGTAAAAAATTTTCAAAATCCAAATGAAAATCGATTTAAATCGACTTCTATGTAATAAGTTTTTAAAATTTTAATAAAAATTAATTAAAATCAACTTCTATTATATAAATTTTTAGAATATATATTTACGTAATTTTTTTTAGAACAATTAGGGAATAACTAATATTTTTTTATTTATTTATAAAAAAAGCCTGAAATTGATGTACAGAATAAAATTGTTATAATGATATTTGTTTTAAGATTTTTATACATTTTTCTATTAAATAAATTGATATATTTTTATCAAATAAAATATAAATTTAATAATTTAATGACATTAATGTATAATTTATTTCACAATAAAAGGTGTTATAGAAAATGTTAAAAAATGATTTTTTAACAGCATGAAAAGATTATTGGTAATACACGTCTAAATGTGAAAATGATTTGATAATAAGTAATTTAGTGCTTAATGTATGTTCGCATGCGGTGGAACTCGTTGATGTAGCTAATTATGAGAACTTTTGTGTTAAAAACTTCACCACCTGTTGAGCAAACCTTTGAAAGGGTCTCTAAATAAGAAATCGACGACCATCCCCCGTCCAACTTGCCCGTCACAAACCTTGCGTATAGGCATATCATATACAAATAATAGACTTAACATAAACCCCAGTCCACCAATAAGACCAAGAAATATTGCAAGTTGACAATATTATAAATTAACCAACTTAGTCTCTTATTATAAAGACTAATAACTCAGCTATAAATTCAAAAGACGAATAAATTTCCATATGGCAATCAAAGACAAAGTTAATCTAGTTTGAAATTTAAGCTCCTTGCCAGAAAATAAGATATGTATTCAAAAAATTTTTTCTTTTAAACTTAGTTGTTATGTCAATATAGAATTTTAATAAAATAAAATATGTGCTCCCAATATATAAAATGAAATTTTAATTCATGTTTTTAAAAACATGATCTGTAACATCCTAAAATTTCTAATCATAAAATGCATATTTTATTTATAATAATTCAGGATAAAATGTCAATTTTTACATATGATACATTTTGTTATTACAAGTTAATAAAAGTCTTTTTATGAATAGATTTATTTATACAAAATTTTTCCAACTATGCCACATTAAAGGAAATAATAGTAATTTTAAAGATCATAATAAACCAAAAATAATTCTTTCAAATTCGGATACTAAACATGCATTACATATATCAAGTAAAATAATTTACAAACTGTTGTTAAAATATGTGTAACTTAAGATAATATTTGCATGATCAAAATAATTACATTACAAAAGCAATTTAAGTCTCAGAGCAATACAAAAATACATCCCAACACTGAGAACTCAGTGTTAGTCATTTCTATGCCAGCTCTCAATCTCTATTAAATCCTCGAAGTCAAGATCATTATCTGATCTAGTATATAGATCCCCTGAGTCGGCCATAACCTTAACCCCTGTGACTCGTTCACCGGTAACTCGAGTTAGCTTTCCAAGATGGTAATGGTCGTGGTATATAAATAGATATGTGAAGACTGTTGTAGTTTTAATAGTACCTCTATAGAAATACATACATAAAGTATGGTGTATCCTATTTACTTGGAAATCAGAAGGGACATTATAATATAGTTCCATCTCTAACATAATGATATTCCTAGGCACATCATCAACATGTACAGCAAATTTAAAATAACATGTCCTTTGCTATTCATTAAATACATAGTTAAGTCTATTATTTACAGAACTATCTATTAACCTATTTCTTTCCCGAGGCATCGTCATCCTGCTTTCCTGAAAATATTAGTAAGGATGAACGTCTATTCTATCATTTACAAATTATTACATCACAGAATCACAGTTGTAATATAAAGAAAATATATTTATTTTCATAACCCATTCACATTACACACATATTCACATGTACACAACTCAACAATTTATTATACATTATCTCATTTCTCTTTTCAATACGCACTCCCAGTGCACTGTGATCACATATATCGATACCTCCAACATTTCTTAAAGTCTTACTCAACTAGATAAGTAGTCGTCAGTTAGCTCATACATACAAATATAATGTATACAATAGTTGGGCTTCTTAGCAAAGGTATAATCAAGAGTCTAGTCAGGAAATGGGTGTGAGGCTATGTGACACATTCGCTCTCAGAAAGAGTGTATACACATACGCAAATGTCACTCACCATTCTACGTTTCCTCTAGATTTCTCATTATCTCCGGACTCTATACTCCTAGTGTATCCCTGTAACTATTCACACTAGATCCAATCCATATTCGACACTTAAACTTTTTCTTAGAATTATTTCCTTTTCTACTCATAAGATAGTGCTTAGTAAAATACTTCCAGACTAAGTCCATCCCATTCACACCATTAGAATATAGTTTCATTATGTTCTTCAAGCCAATATCATATGTTATCACAATCACAACTACTCATATACATATTTCATATAAACATATCACTGCCAATCAATTCAGACCATCAAACATACATAACATATTTCAAACATATACATTCATAAAAATTTGTATATAATAGTGCTCTAGTGAGCACAAAATAAACATTTTAATAGAATGATAAAACAAAGTTTTCCTTACCTCAACTTGAGTCTGTGGAGAGATATTGATGAAGATTTGAGTTCAATTATGGAAGTTCTCCTGAGTACCAAGAGATATCCGTGAGGAATGAAAAATACAAGAAACAATCAGAGAAAACAAAGTTTAATCTAGAGAAACTTACTTGGAGTCATTTAGATTCAATATTCAAGCTCAGATTTGAAGAGTAACTAGAGTTTAAGTGAGTTTTATCTGAGTAAAGGAAGTGAGAGTTCAAAGAGAATGAGAAAGGAATGTGAGGTTTGGAATGAAATGAAATTTTCATGCTGAAAATATTTAAAATATTCCTCAGCCTTGGGTGCTCTCGCTTGAGAGATGGACTTCTCGTTTGAGCGAGGTATATCTCGCCTGAGCGAGATATGCAGACAATGGTTTTGCCAAACATTTCCTGATATGCTTGCTTGAGTGAGATCGAGCTCACCTGAGAAAGATGACGTCTAGAGAGTTTAACATTTTTCCTGTGAGTCCTCACCTGAGCGACTCATCTCGCCTGGACGAGGTGATAGTTGAGCTAGATTTATCTTATCTCGCTTGAACGAGAATCATCTCGCCTGAGTGAGATTGCCTTGAAACCTTGTGTTTCTGGGCGCTTAGTCTCACTTGAGAAAGATTTGTCTCACTTGAGCGAGACTCCCTACACCAGACTTCTTCCAAAAATTCTCATAATTCACTTCTAACACATTCTAACCCTACTTAATATCAAACAAAGCATCATTTACTGAATAATAAAAGAGAGGATGTTATAATTCTCTCACTCTTTTAGGAATTTTGCCCCTGAAATTCACTGATTTAGAAAAAGATGGGGGTAGGTTTCCTTCATTTTGTCCTTAGACTCCCAAGTGACATCTCCCTTATCACTTACATTCCAGATTACTTTTACCAATAGAGAATTTTTACCCCTTAACTGCTTGACTCTATGTTTCGCAATCTTCACAGGAAATACATCATATGACAAATTCTCTCAAATTTAGACATGGTGTTACATGATCAATGCTTGAAAAATTATTTAGCATGTCATATGACTTAAGTAAAAAAAAAATGACATGCTATAGCAATGTTTAGTACTTAAAGGTGGACATTGTTTCAATGTTGATGTTTTGTTTGTGAAATGAGATAATTTACACAGGGCTAGTGCTGTTTTTATAGGGAAACACTTCAACATTCAAGTGAAAAACAGTTTAAAGTAGGTTCTTTATTTAAGATAAAAAAATGAGTAATGTACTTTAGACTTGAAGTTTTCTTGCTTCTGTATAGACATTTATGATATCATTTAGTTAAGATTTCATCCATGCCTTGATGTAGATAATTGAGTAAGAGTTATATTATAATAGTGAGTTTGATGTTCGTAGTGACTTTGGATATACAAGTTATGTGATGGGACAGGTGCTGTGACTCTTACTCTTTCTTGGGTACACATGATCCAAAGTGCTCTTTTGTCTATAGTGAACCATGATGGTGATCTTGATTGTAATTATCTTTCAATCTAATGTCAATAGTATTATTTCAAAATAAGCAAGTTTTTAAGATTATTTATGTATGTTTTAGTCCTTTAACTATTTTATAAGTTAAAGATATCAAGTTATTAAATATTCATATTAGGTAATTTGAAACCTAATTATCCATAATTTATCAATCATAATTCTAAGTGAGTATATTTTCCTCATTCACTCTTAATTTTATTGTCTTGCCTTTATGTTCTACATCAAAATGAAAAAAATTTCACATGAATCTTATTCTTAAATCCTATCACCCAAGTAACCTTACACATCTTTTAAAATGTTTTATGTGAAAGTAGAATCAATTAAATTTACCAACGGAGGTAGCTTCAAGTGATAAACAACTCAGTATTGTTTAAGTAAAATTTCGGGTTCGAGTCGTAGATTCACTCACCACATTCAGGTGCACGACCCAAGTCGAATTCGAATTAAACTAGATGGAAAAAAAAATCATAAAAGTTTATATATTCATTAATTTATTTAATTAGGTATATTTTAAATGAAGGTCAGTAGCCCGTGCTTGTACAAGGAGGAAGCCAATCCCACCTATTAACCTATTCATTAAATACATAGTTAAGTCTATTATTTACAAAACTATCTATTAACCTATTTCTTTTTCGAGGCATCGTCATCCTGCTTTACAGAAAATATTAGTAAGGATGAACGTCTATTCTATCATTTACAAATTATTACATCACAGAATCACAGTTGTAATATAAAGAAAGTATATTTATTTTCATAACCCATTCACATTACACACATATTCACATATACACAACTCAACAATTTATTATACATTATCGATTCAATTATTTGAAAGTTCTTATTAAATAAATTTATTTCGTAAATTTTTATATAAAAAAATTAATATATATATATATATATATATATAAAGAATACTATATTTTTAATTTATATAAATATAATTATATTAATTTTTAAATTTTATAATTACCTACTTAATGATGTGACACAAAGGCCTATCACGTCATGTAAACAATGATAAAAAAATTTAAAAATTTTAAATTTACTAAAATTAAAGTAAAAAAAAAATTATATTTCTATTAGCTGAAATAACATTTAATCTTTTCATAAACTATACGAACCTGTGGTGAAAATCAATAATTAAAAAAAAAAGCATCTTACAGTTACATGCATAACATTATTAAGAGTTAAATTCACGGTGCTTAAAAATTCTAAGATGTCATTCATTCTTTCTACATCTATAAAAGAGAAATATTAGCAACATAAATTTTAGTATATCTTTTTAAATATATTTTTATTATTCATAAATATTTATTATAAATTATGTAAAAAAAATTTAAATTTAATTAATGAGTCCACTGATATTTTTATATTTAATAAATTTTAGATAATAAATATAAAAAATGTTAAAAAAAGGTGGGTAAAAGAAAGATTTTGTATTACTCCTGGCCTATGAACATCCATCCACTGGCAAAAGACATGGCAATGATTATAACAAAACCAGCAATTGCACCGAACCAAAATGGAAAACCAATGATCTGTAGTTTCTGGTGATGAGGCTGAGAATGAATCTCATCTGGTAGAGAAGGCTTAACTCCTGCAGTGCCATGATGGTATAGGAGACCCTTGTTTCCTTCAAAGCTTGTAGATGGAAAGGTATCAAACTGTCCCTTTGTTGGGATTTCCCCATGCAACTGATTATAAGACACATCAAATGCAGACAAGAAACTAAGTTCAATTAATGATTCTGGTATTTCTCCTGAGAGCTTATTGTGAGACAAATCCAAAATCTCCAACATTGCCATGCCCGATAATTGGGAAGGAATTGACCCTGAGAGGCTATTGTGTTTCAGGTCCATAACATGTAGGCCTTTAAGGTTACCAAAACTTGGCCATATTTGTCCTTCAAGTTTGTTGTAACTGAGTAATAAAGATGGTCGGAAACTTGAAACCTTTTGGTACTTTATCTTCTTTAGAGTACCAGTTCCAATGGTGTACAAAGGAAAGGCAGAAAGAGTTCCTTGTAATGAAGAATTCTTGTGCTGGAGGCACAAGATCCAGGTCAAGCTCTGTGGTATGTTCCCAGTGAAAGAGTTATTTGATAGGTCCAAGTAATAGAGGTTGTTAAATTTGCCAATCCATGAGGGAATGCTTCCACTGAGATGATTCCATGACAGATCCAGCATCTGTAGCATCTTGCATCCACTTAACCACTCAGGAATTGAACCTTTTATTTTACTGCTGGCCAGGGAGAGAAATTTGACACTTTTGAATTCAAGATTTTGAATTTGTGGCATGTCTTCGCTATGGAAGTTGTTTGTAAGGACTAGCGTACTTATGTTCCTACATTGACTCAAAACCTCTAGTGTTGCTGACAAATTATGCAGGTTTGCATTTGAAAGAAAGAGTTGGGTTAGGGACTGAAGATTCTTGAAATTAAAAGGACTCCCACAATTGAATTGGTTTCGAGAAAGATCAATTGCTTCTAATCTTAAGCAGTTTGTTAGACTACTGGGGATTGGACAGTGGAATTGATTAGAACCAAGAGCAATGACGGTTAGATTTTTCATTGTAGAACAATTCAAATTAATTGAACCACCCAAAGAGTTGTTGTTCATATTAAGCATTTGAAGAGAAGGGGAATTCACAAGTGATGCAGGTAACTGGCCAGTTAATCTATTTGAATCAGCAGAGAAAACCTTAAGCCTTGTGAGGCTCCCAAAGACATTAGGAAGAGTTCCATAAAATTGGTTATTGGAGATGTCTAATTCCACTAAGTTTAAAAGGTTACCAACTCTTTTACTCAATGGCCCAGACAGCTTATTATCCTGCATGTATAGTTCACTCAATTTTTGCAGCTGAAAGATACTCTCTGGAAGGCTTCCTGACAAATCATTTCCATTAATAGACAGATGCTGCAAAGAGTAACAATTACCTAAATTTCCTGGAATCTTACCAGAAAAGAAGTTATTAGACAGTTTAAGTATTTGAACCCGAGTGAAAGAGGTACACATAGCAGTATTTATAGAGCCATTAAAATAATTATTGCTCAAGTCTATGACCTCCAAGTTTTGTAGATGAAATAAATTGTCTGGAAGAAAGCCACTAAAGAAATTATGGGAAAGGTTCAAGACTCTTAGTTGATCCAAACCTGCTAAGTATTCACAGATTTTTCCACCAAGTCCTGTGCTTCCAAGTTCCAATTGAACCACCCTTGTGCCTACACTTGGTAAGGCACCACATGTGACACCAGACCAAGTGCAATAATCAGGTGAGGTGGAGATGTTCCAATCTAGAATAGCCGAGTCTAAGCAGCTAGAAAATCCAGTCAAAGCCTTCAAATCATTGGAACTCTTTGTAAAGTTTTGGGATTGGTGAGTACTACTAATCACAAAACTGATGCATGGCATCAAAATTGCAGATAAGAAGAAACTATGAAATCCCATTTGGTAGAAAAAAATTTTGAAAATAGAGGGGCAGCAAGATTGGGTTCAGAATCAATGCTTAGTGGCTTATCCTAGAGCAAATAGTTTGTATTTCAGTCTTCGATTTTATAAAAGCAATGGTGGCACCGTTATGACTTGAACTTTACTCCAACGTATGCATTACTTTTAAGTTGACTTGTGTTCAGTTGACCGCTTAGCCATAGATATCAGGTCTGATATTTCAGTGGATCTTGCATGAAGGAAATGTCTGGCTTCCAAGTATTTGCAAGTTATTTTCTATATTACTGTTTTTTAATATCCCTTTTTTCCTTCAAAATATCCTTTTTATGTTATCTCTTTTTATATATTTCTCTCTCCAACTCTTACATTTATATATATATATTTTTTAGTTTCCATCCAATTTAATTTGGATCCCACTCGAATCGCCACTTAGATGTGGTAGATAATCGCCACTTAGATATAGTAGATAAGTGTACTACTGAAAATTTTTTAAATACACAAAGATTCAAATCTAAGACCTAACTTAAGTAATACCGAGCTATTTGTCACTTGGACCGATCTCTATTAGTCTTACATTTGTATATTGAGTAATGTTGTCGCATCTTTTTAAATAATTATTTTTTATATAAAATACTCTTTTTTATTTATTAGTTAAATTATTAATGATAATAATATTTAAATAAAATATATTAAATAAGATTTGGTAATAAACATTTTTTAGTAATATAAATACTCCCTTATTTATTGTATCATTCACTACATTTTTGTTTTCGCTTTCTCTTTTTTATTTTTATCTATTTTTGTTAACAAAATTGGTGTTAAAAAATTACCAAAAAAACTCTATAAATGAACTAAATAAAAATAGGCTCTACCCTTTAGAAGCGGATGCATTATTTTTTTATATTTTTAAGTTGAATTAATTTTTTGTAACTAGATTTCATGACCGAATTATTTGGTATTGAATCCAACTTTTACATAACTTAAATTAACAAATTTAAATAAGTTTCATTGTTTAAACATAAAAAAATTAACTCGACATGTAATATTATATATAATTTTTTAATTTTTCAATATACATATATCTAAAATATATACTACTTTATAATCAAAAGAAACTTTTTAATATCATATTTTTATGCTCACAAAACATTTTCTTATATAAAGTTAAGAAGTTAAATAAAAATCAAATTTAAAACTTCTCTTTTATACTAAAAAAAAGTTATAAAATATATAAAGAACTTTTTTAAATGGGTGTGTGTGAATTTTTAATTTTAATATTTATATATAATTATATGATCTAAATTTATTTAGATATATAGAGAATATATAAAATAAAAATACTCTTTTTATATAACAAAATAAAAAAATAAATTTTAGCATTAACATGTAATCTCAAATTCAAGTATCAATGAATATAGCTTTGTTAAATACTCAAAAGGAGAGTTTTGCCACTTACAATCGTCTTAATCAGCTCAAACAAACTTGACCCTAATTCCATCAAATGTATCTTTATTGGCTACTCACCCTACCAAAGGAGTACAAATACTACTTTTATAACTAGAAAATATTTTCACCCTACAAATGTAACCTTTTTGAAGGGCAACCATATTATCCAAAGGTTGAAATTTAAAGCAAAAAGACATCATAGAATTCAATAATTGGAAGGTGAGATGGCAGAACCACCATTACCAGCAACAACAAGTGTCACTATAATAGAAAGAGTAGATTTAGAGGGAGAAAACCTCCCTCATGAAATTCCACAACCTACTATACAAGAAACCAATCTATGAGTTTATTTCAGGAAAAGGAAGACTAAGAAGACAATAGAGCCTAGCACAATCTTAATGCATGGTCATGAGTCAAACCATACTCCAAAAACCGAAAATCACCCAGGTAACACTACTTCCAACCTTGAATTAGATCATAGTAATGCTAACCTTGATGTACCTATTGCTTCAAGAATAGGTGTTTAGATCTTGCACTCAACACTTAATTGAAAAACATGTCTTATAGCATGATTTCTTCAAGATTATAAAGTTTTTATAACTTTTCTTGACATGAAAATCCCAAATATCATTCAAGAAGATCTTCAACAACCAAAGTGGGCAGCTTCTCTTGCAAAAGAAGTTCAAGCCTTGGCAAAGAACAAGCTCATCACTTTGTCAAAAGAGAAGAAAGCGTTAGGATGCAAATAGAGTTTTTTGATCAAGTATAATGTTGATGCAAGCATAAACTAGTACAAAGCTTGGTTGATAATAAATAAATTTACTCAATCATATGAGATTGATTATAAAATAACGTTTGCACTTGTGGCCAAGCTCAATTCCACCAGCGTTGTTCTATCCTTAACTACAACCTTGGATTGGCTACTACATCAATTGGATATAATAAAGAAATTTACTCAATCATATGAGATTGATTATAAAATAACATTTGCACTTGTGCCCAAGCTCAATTCCACCAGGGTTGTTCTATCCTTAACTGCAACCTTGGATTGGCTACTACATCAATTGGATATCAAGAATGTTTTCTTTAATAATAATCTAAAGGAGGAAGTATATATGCAAATCTTGCCTAGACTTGAGTTCACTAGCACCATCAACAAACTATGCAAGCTTCAAAAGACTCTCTATGGCCTCAAGGAATCTCCAAGAGCTTAATTTAACAAATTGAACCAAGTTGTCAAGAAGGAAGGATTCACACAGTGACACACAGACCACACCATGTTTGTTAAACACTCTCTGGAAGGTGAAAAACAATATTCATAATATTTGTGGATGATATTGTTATCACTAGAGACGATGGTGAGCAAATTGAGCACTTGAAAAGGCTCTTGGCTAATGAATTTGAAGTCAAAGACCTTGGACAACTCACATATTTTCGAAGAATGGAAGCGACAAGGTCAAAGGATGGGATTTGTGTTTCCCAAGGAAGAAAACCCTAGACTTGTTGCAAGAAACATGGATGCTAGGATGTAGGGTTGCAAACACTCCCATTGAATTTGTCAAAAGAAACGGTGATGAAGATGAAAGTCAGCTTACTAACAAAGAAAGGTACCAAAGTCTAGTGGAAAAATTGATATACTTACCACAAACCAGACTAGACATTGGATTTGCTGTGAGTATGCCTAACCACCACATGAATGATACTTGAAAAGATAACTATAGATGGAAGAATTTAAATAATTATGTTTCTCATTAAATCATTATGGGAGTTTTACACTGTATTTATTGGTTAATTCTCTCCTAATTGTAGTAATTACAAGAGGATCATATCGAATAAAAAATTGTACAAATCATAGTCAATCAAATGTGTCCTAATTATAGAAAAACAAATCTGGTCTAATTATGGTAATTATAATTTGTCTTAATTATGGTAATCACAACACTCCTTCTCAAGCTAGTGAATGGATATCTATCATTACCAGCTTGCATGTTAGTTCTCAAAACCGATCAGTGAGAATCTCCTTGGTGAATGTATCTGCCAATTGAAGTTCAGAGGGAATATATGACGTGGCAACAAGACCATTATCTAATTTTTCCTTAATGAAGTGTATGTCTATCTCTATGTGCTTGGTTCAATCATGTTGGATCGGATTATGAGCTATGCTAATAGCGGATTTATTATCACGTAAGAGTTTCATAGGGACTTCAAACTTTATTTTAAGGTAATCTAAAATGATCTTTGCCCATAACAATTCACACACCCTTTAAGCCATAGCTCTGAATTCTACCTTAGCACTTGACCTTGCAACCACATTTTGTTTTTTACTCCTCCAAGTTACTAAATTTCCTCCTAAAAGCATACAATATCTTCTGGTGGATCTCCTATACATAATAGACTCTACATAATCTGCGTCTGTGTATACTTCTACGGACAAATCACCGTCTTTCTTAAAGAGGAGTCCTCTCCTTGAGGTTATCTTCAAGTATTGAAGGATTCTATTTACTGCTTATAGATGTCTTTCTTAAAGATTATGCATGAATTGACTAACCACAGTAACAAAGCTATATTTGATCTGATGTGAGATAGATAAATGAGTTTCCCACTAGCCTCTGATATTGTGCCTTTTTCACCTTTGGGCTATCTTCATCATTCCCAATCATGTGGTTTTGTTCTATAGGAGTTCTAGTGGTCTTGCACCCCAACTTGCCAGTCTCCTTAAGAAGGTCAAGGACATACTTCCTTTGAGAGATAAAGATACCTTACTAAGAGTAGGCAACTTCTATTCCAAGGAAGTATTTCAACTTCCACGGTCCTTCATTTCAAATTGAGCAACCAAGGAAATGATCATTCTCACTGTATTTATCTTGGCTACTGGGGTGAATGTTTCCTGATAGTCGATCCCATAGGTCTGCATGTACCCTTTTGCGACTAGTCTAGCTCTATACCGATCCAACATACCATATAAGCAATACTTCATAATTTATATTCACTTGTAACCCACAATCTTTTTATTCTTTGGCTGTTCAACGATCTCTCACGTCTCATTTCTTTCTAATGCATTCATTTCTTTATTCATGGCTTAAATCCAATTCTCATCCTTTAAGGCTTCTTGTATTAATGTAGAGACTATAACAGGATCAATGGCTGAAATAAAGCTTTGGTGCTGCATGGAAAGGTGTTTAGAAGATACAAACTGGGATATAGGATATTTTTTGTAAGTTCTTTTTTCTTTTCTCAAGGCAATTGGTAATTCATCAAAATTATCTAAAGGTTTGTGTAGAGAATCAGGAATAGGAGTACTTACCTCTAGTTCAAGCCATTGGAGCAGTTTTTGGACCAAGTTAGGATTTTTTTCTTCACTAATATTAATGCCTAAAGAATCTGTCTTCATTGCCGTTGGTTCAGAGTTTTTCCTCTCGTCAAGGGTAGTATAATCATCAGTGGTCAAGTCTGACATAAGAGGAAATAAAGGACAACTCATTGAAGGACGCCTCAGCTTCTAAATGACTCTTTAGAAGCCGAGTACTAGTGTAGAAGGGCACAATTTTATTAAAGGTGACATCCATAGAGATATAGAAACGACGACTTTGTGGGTGGTAACATTTGTATCCCTTCTTGTTATGAGAATACCCTATGAAGATACACTTGACAGCTCAAGGGTCTAATTTTCCTCGATGAAGACCTTCTATTCGGTACTGCCCTTATCTTTCTTATGTTGTAAATAG